AGGGGGGGGGGGGGGACTTATATACGGGTGGGCTTATACATGGACAATCTTTTGTGTTAGTAATAAACAAGTCAGACATAAACAAGTCAGACATAAACAAGTCGGTCATAAACAGGGAGTAAATGTGCATTAAGCAGCGATTACTGGGCTTATATTAATTGGGGGACTTATATTCGGGTGGGCTTATATTCGGGGGGGGGGGCTTATATTTGGAATGAGGTGAGCGTTAGTACATGTGGTGGGCTTATACATGGGGGGCTTACAGTCAGAGGTTTACGGTATGTATAATATGCATATAATATTTTCCAATCTGTGATTTTTAGTTTATAACACAATATTCAACACACTTTCCCAATAGTTCATTTATCTAATCTTTCGCTTTTTCTCGTTTCTGTTTGAATCAAGTTCATTTTCTGGAAATTCATCTTCGCTTCCAACCTCTTCCACTAATGATTCCAACTTCTCAACCCTTTCAGTTACATTATCAACTCTTTCAGTTACACTATCAACTCTTTCAGTTAAACAAAGTAGCATTGAACGTGTCTGTGAAAATAACAGAAAGCATCCTCGTAAACATCACAATTCATTAGCTTGGCCTGATGCTGAAGGCCAGGTAACTGCATGTTACACTCTATAAGGCAATCATGTGACACCTACAGTAAGACACAATAATCTGGCAATTAGAAGCTAAGTCAAATTGAGAAACACTATATACCATTAATTCTGCATCTTCCATTTCTGGTTTGGAGTTTTTATTTGTGCATCTTCCAAGTTGATAACTTTTTACTTTATTCCAGTCGAGTGTATAGAGATCTCTACATATAGAAAATAATGAGGAAACATTATTGCCTCGCACCCCTAATCTGCTGGGAGAGAATCGCAGGGGGAGAATTTCTTTTGAAAGTTCAGTTAATCAGACGTTAAATTTTGGTAAGCTGTACAATGATAAGTCTGGATGGGGTGGAGAACATATGCACCCTTCCTGGCGGATTTGTTTCCCCATTCTTGGTTCATGCACCATGGCAAATACTGTATCTGAAAACATGTTTTAATACTTGCCTGATGCTGTCAAGCTTTCTTGGCGTTGTATCATACATACGACCAATAGGATGCTGACATGACTTGCACTCTAGGACACGGTACGTACTGTGAGAAAATACAATTTTATGGCTTTTTTATCACCTTTGCTATAATCACCAAAAATTGGAAGGATTGTAAACAAGTGGACATTAGTAAGACTTTATTTTATAATACCTTCCTCGATCTTCTCCATCAGCAGACGTTTCAAATAAGTTAGTCACTTTCACAGATTCGGTGACCGCTTGAAAAACATAGAGAGACACTAAATTCTCATTTCTCAAAGGGTTCCTGAGAGGGGACTACCCAATATTTATATAATCAAATACAGATTCTGTAGAAAAGTTTGTACAACTGTTACACATTTTGATTATTGATTACCAACCATTAAGTGATATGCTTTTTAAACTTTTGTTCATCCTAGCCGTTGCTAAACTATCTCCAAAGATCGCATGGCATTCCATGCAATAAAATACATAAAATTTTTGTCCATCTTGCAACTCCTCGGCGGCGGCCATATTGTGATATTTCGAGATGCGTTCGATTTTCGCGCGGGATTTTGCGGGAATGCGATTTGGAATCGTTGAAAATAGTGCTCATTCTTTCTAACGAAATTAATTTCAACCGAGGTATTTAATAATCGCTGCCGCCTTAATACTTCAAGACTAACAGTTTTAATACAAAGTATAAATATAACACCATGTATTTTCTTTGAGAAATTAAATGTTAAAAATAGAAACAAGTCAAACAACTAGCCTCGTTTTGGTGCACATTTCAAAGGTTATAATTTCGCTCGCATCAGTCGCATGGGTTGTTTAAGTTGTTTTCAACATTAAACCTTTACACTTTGCTGTAAATAACAGTCTCTGTTGAAAAACTGTTTAATTTAACAGCCTGGTAATGCATAAAATACAATAAAATACTACAAAATTGTCGTACTGCAAGTGGAAGCATTGCTTGCTCGTCTGTAAAATTCCCACAATGCATCTCTTCAAAGAAAGTGTAAAAGCATGGCGTTGAAGTAGACAACGAGAATTACAAACTTTTGTCGTTTTTAAAACGTTTTAGGAATGTCCGAGAAAGCTGAAGGTGTGGATAATGTGTAGTATTCTGTATTACCTCTTGAAATATGTATGATTTGTCCGGGAAAATGAACTAATTCTCTCTTTTTACCACTAGGAAAAGTTGAAACTTCGAGTTCTGTTCAAGGCAAAGCTGAGAGAATGGATGGCCCGCCTTCTCCGAAACGAGTAAGTTTACAACTGAAATGTCCCTAAAAACTGTTTATGCGATTAAGTTCGTCATTTTTTTGTAAGATTAGCGGTTTAATATGCAGTTTTTATCAACAAACAAGGCTTGTTTTTGCGTCAAATTTGTAATTGTTTTTTATTTGTAGATCAAACTGATGGACAATGTCAACGATATGAAAAAGATGAACCGAGACTTATTGCTATCGAAGTAAGTGCAATCACATTCTGTTAACAATATATGATATGTTTGATTTCTAATATCAATTTGTAGACTTGGCGTTTTTAAGTATATCCACTCAAATTCAAAGTTAAGTGTACTAATGTTTGCAAAACAAAAATTTTTTGAGCACATGTAGACAATTAGGCCATTCCGTTTATGTAGGCAAGGTCCCTTCATAATCTGCTTAGGAACCCTATATTGTTTTTACCCCCTTGATAACAAATTTTCCCCATTTTCGTTTTGAAAAACCCCAGGGAGGTGGGAGTCTTAAATTGAAAGTACCTATAAGTGTACCAATATATTGACCATTTCAAAACTCCTTGGAATGTGAAAACAAGAGGAAAGACATGTTAATAGTCGTAGCTCTAGACATGTTAGTAGTCGTAGCTCCTGATCGAATATTTTCTCTGTTGGAAGTGAGCTAAGTGTTGGATTTTGTTTACAAAAGGTTTCAAGAGCAAGATAAATACATTAACCATCTAGAGGAGAAAGTGAACCAGACTTCTAATGGTAAGTATTAGAACTATATGTCCTTTCACCTTCTGTTCTTAACTCATTAATATGCAAGACTCATCTTCATAAGTAAAATCATCTGGTGTTAGATACCAGTGCGAATAGGGCACATTGCTGCTTAATAGATTAACAAATGGGTCATTCCAGAAAAGATCCACACACTCTTTATGGAGGAAATTCTGCCATCCAGAGGGGGAGAAAAATGTGTTTCTGTGTATTAGGACATGGGTAGGGGGGTTAACTTCTAATTTCCTGCGTGGGGGAGGTATGGATGTTTTCTGGAATGACCCGACCGAATCACATGGTGTTAGAGTAAAATACTGAAGTAGGGTGCATTTGGGTGTTATTGCAGTGTAATGGGTTAAAATAGTTAATACTACTTATGAATAGTTGCTTTTGTTCTCTTGCTAACTTTTAAAATTCAATTTGGGATATCTAGCTGGAGAACTTACATCACTTCGTGAATCAGAGGAAAAGTTAAAGTTGCAACAGCAAGAGTCAACTCGACGCGAGAACGTTCTTGTGATGCGCTTGGCGACCAAGGAACAAGAAATGCAGGAACTACTGGTGAGATATTTATATGGAACAATAATCTCGTTTTACAATTCAGCCGTTGCAAGTACATAAAAAACTCTCCAAGTTTGAAAGTACTAGTGGTCTCCAATGACAGTTGAACTGTGCGGCTGGCCATTGGACGGCAGGCAAAGGCGGGAATTGTCTTGGACAGCCTGTCTATGTGAAGGTTTGGGACACTATATGGTGAGGTCTGAACTATCTAACTCAGATAAACAGTAATTGGTGAGGTGTGAAATATATATCTGACTGAGCTATTCAATTGTTAGTCTCAACAAACTGGTAAATGTGGTGAAATGCAAGAACAATGCTCGGTCTTCAGCTTGTTGCAACAGTTGGGAGCAAAGCTTATTTTGCAATGACTTTAAATGATCGTAGCCTGATGTAAAACTGTAGAGTAAAACAGGGTTCGTATTAGAGGGGGAAAATCGACTTGCAAATTTTCAAAATTTGAAGGAAATTTCAGTTTTGCCATATTTTTCATTTCACATATCCATTTAATACAAAATTACAATAATAGTAAGCAAAATACTTAGCAAAATAAATTTGAACTAATTGTGAAAATAACCTTTGATGTTAACCTGAATACACCGTACATTGTTATTGCAAAACGTCATTCGTAAAATGGATTATATTTCCAAATTGCGAATAGCGAGCTTCTAATTCGAACCCTGTGCTCTGAGCATCAGCATTCTCTTGCATTTGCCAATAAGCTAGAGTTGAGCTAAATAGCATTTTGAAAGTGTCTTGAGCAATGAGCAAATGATATTGACTTTCGTTGAAAAAAAAAGCATGTCTGGTGAACAGTTGAACATTTGATGAAGCACAGACATGGCAGTGGTTGAAAGCAAGGCGATTGAACTGCAATTGAACTGAACTTTTTTATGCTTATGAAAGAACATTTTAAGGAACTTTGAACATTATATGGCGGATGTTTTACAATGAACTGCAGACATTATGAACTTGAAACATTTTAAATTATATCAGTAATGTAGTGTTTATTAGTAGACAATGGTAGCACAAAAGGAAAGCCAATGTTTATGTTCACTATATTAACTATGCTGGTATTGTGTTTGTACTGTTGCTAAATCAACTGTGTGTGTGTTTTAAATTGTACAATAACAATATTCAACAGGCTAATCAAGAACTAATGATAAATGGTTTCCTATATCGGTTCTACTTGTATGCGACTCAAGTGAAACTTTAATCAGACAATTGCATATTGCGGGAATGAATCTAGGTGTGTAGAGATGAAAGACATGTTCACTGACCACCATGCAACTAGTATCTTGTCCACCTCACTGTGCTTTGCAGTCACTATACTACTTTATATCAGTATATTCTGAGTTCCATCATTCTCTCCTTGTTGATCCTCTCATCTCCTAACATTCTTACACACCTATCTTTCATCATGAGTTGGCAAGCTCATCGCACTTGAGCATATTTATATTCTTATGGGTTTGCTGCTTGTCCAGAGTCCAGGGAAAACATATGGTAAATGATCTGATGATATTTGTGGGGTTTTACCAAGTCCCCCCCCTCAAAAAAATAAATTTGTCCCCATAGCCAGTGATGCAGGGGAGTGAGATTGGGATGGGAAGATAGAGATGGTGGGTGAAAAAGTTTCCCTTTTCCCTTGCTTCTGTTTTCACTCTCCCCACTAGCACAAGATATGTACACCGCAGTTGGGTTGCTAGTCCCCAACATTAGCTTTTATTTATCATCTCGATCATAGGTTAACTGCCAAAATAGAGTGGGGGCTTTAGGTATAAAGAGATTTTGCTAAACATTACACAGTTCAAACTGTGGATAACACGCATGGCTCGTCCCTCCCAGCCCATGGAAGCATATAGAAGAAAGGTAATTTACCATCAGAGAATTATACTTGTGAGTGGTCTAAGAAGGTCTGGGTTGTAAGTTGAGCTGCGATCAAATGACATCATTTTGTTATCCACATAGAGATACCAAATTTTATTGGGCGTGCTGATGCTTGAAAAGGGGACACATCCTAAGATCCATTTTAGCCCTAGGCTTCCTTAAATTTTTACGTTGGTTCTTTTTCGTTTAGACCCAAATCCATGACTTAAAACAAGCTCAAAATCCTGCAGGCTCTCAGCTTCGTTCAACTCTGCTTGACCCAGCTGTTAACGTAGTCTTTCAAAGAATGAAATCTGAACTAGATGAAACCAAGGACAAATTGGAGCAAGCACAGAATGACTTGAGCGCGTGGAAATTCACGCCTGACAGGTACAAACGTGTGTGTATAAAATATTAGGGTAGTGCGTGTTGTCTCCGTATCGCTACGCGCTCTACAATACTTGCACAACATTTCATGTGCTTAAATATTCTGCGAAATCCAAGATGTCATGAATAAGGCGTCTTGGTTCACTTGATCAAATATTCATGACATGTTTTAAAACTTAAAGAGATTATATCAAATATTCATTTGTAACAAGTAAAAAACTAGTTGTTCATGAATAATCTCAGTAGATCACTTAGTACTACAGAAATGATCGGGAATTGTGTATATTATAGTCAAATGATTACCACTCGACTGCTGTACCAATAAACCGAGTGTTACAATGAACGGTTACCAAACTACGATAATACCATAATAACTATATGTATGGTATTAGTTATTGGGGAAAATACGTATTATATATAACAATCGTACATATATTTGCGTCGCGGAGATTTTTTAAATGGCGAAAGAATTTAAAATAACCTTTTGTCTTACATGAGCTTCGTGTGGACAATTCCCTGATTGAAAAATTAAGAAAGATTACCTCTGCTCGTAGTACATTTTCGTGTTTTTTTAATGACATGAAATTGAAGACAAAGTTTGAGAAATTTACAATTACTAACGAGCTGGTCGGCTGCTCCTCATCGTTGCGCAGATTATGTTAATCTAGCCTCAATGTTGTATAGCGTTACAGGGAAAAAGCTGATGGCAAAATGCCGTATGTTGATTCAAGAAAATAAAGAACTTGGTAAACAGCTTTCGCAAGGCCGTGTAGCTCAACTTGAAGCCGAGTTGGCTTTACAGAAGAAATATAGTGAAGAGCTCAAGACGAGTGAAGCTGGTAAGTTCCATGATATTTAATTAATTAACAAATAGATAAGATTTTACCGTTGTCTGTTCACTCGGCTCGTGAGCCTCTTTTGTTCTTTCCACATTATGATGTCATACTGTGTATCTGTAACTGAGCAGACAGCGGCAAAATCTTATCTACTTGTTAAATATAATAAAAGAAAAACCCTGAATTAAACAGGTAAATAGCTTACTTTTTATCCACCCAAACATTTGGAAATTTGAAAAAGTCGAAATTTTACAAATATCACGCGTACATGATCTATACAAATAAGGGAATGCTATTGGCTACCTTAATTGTGACGTAATTCCGTGCATCTGTCCTCGAATGGCTGTCCATGGCGGTCCATAGCTCTCGATGAAAGCGCTTGAATTCGTAACTTCATTATATAAAAATGTATTGAGTATACGAATGAACCCAAGTGTCGGTTGTACGTAGGGTGGATAGCGCTGTCTATCCGATATTGATTCGAGAGGTAGTTTACGAGATGGTTCCAAAATTGAAATATGAGTAGTATGTGGGGGTTAGGTTAACCTGAAGTTCAGGCCCTATATTCACAGAATAGGGCCTGACACAAAACCTATCTAAACTGTGGGATTCCCGTCCACCTGGTGGACGGGAAATCTGATTGGTTGATCAGCATCATGAAGGATTTTGATTGGTTGCATGTTCACATAAACAACAGTTTTAAAAATAGCTCGCTCAAGGCGACAATTAATATAAAGGTCAAACGCACGTAACAAATTCCATTATCGATTTCTTCGAATTTCTTTTCTTTTATGCTTTATGGCAGAAATTAAATCAAACAAACAGTATTTTGAAAGGGCTTTATCAAAATCTTTGACGAATTTTGGACACACACGACGCTCAAAGAACAGCCAAACTAGTCATGTATTCGAAAGCTTGTTGTTGACAGCCAAGATGTTCTGCCAACTGGCTTCGCCGGCAAAAGTCTTATTTTTAATATCAGGTCCTACCGGCGTTGTTTTCTGAGCTACATTGCCTTCTTCGTGGTACGATTGAGAATTTAATTGTTGCTGTTGTTAGCCCGTTAGTCGTTTATAGAGCATATCCGCATCCAGCAAGTTGAGACCTTGAGAAAGCTTGGCAGTCAAGCCGTCCACAGAACTGACTAATTAATATAAATCTTTGTTTGCTGTTCGGTTAAATTTAAATAGAGAAACTGACTCTTAATTATATAAAAGTACCTTGAATTTTTAAGTTTAACGAAAAAGCAAAATCTACACTCTGCGGACATGTTCATGAGAATATAAATTTTTTGTGTAACAAAATCGAAATCTACAACACTTGTCAATCATATTGCATGTGTGTCTAAAAATAACATGTGGGCGTCCCACGGTCTAGACGGGTTTTGTGTCAGGCCCTATTTCAAATTAGGGCCTGAACTTCAGGTTAGGGTTAGGTGTGAGGTAAGGGTAAGGTTTAGTATTGTTGTAAGTGACTGGTTGTTGATTTTTTTTACGTTTTAAAGATCTTAAAAACTGGCGGCCATCTTGAAAACCTGCCTCTAGTCCAGGGGTGGATTTGCGCGGGGGGGGGGGTTGCACCCCGCTAGCTAGCCTGCGAACAGGCTCACTGGGAGAAAGGTGAGCCTGCACGGAACCATGCGTTTTATTCATTCATCCCCTTTTCGCATCTGCTAAACGCTAACCAATCAGCGTCGACTGCGATAAATAAACTGTCAACTGTCAAATTGACGCAAGGCGTGTACATTGTGCAACATGAACAATAATAATACAAAGCATTAGCGGGCCGCACAATATATTACTCGGAAAATATAGAATTCTTCAAATATTAAATAGATATCAATACACATACAAATATAAAGCCGAATAAACTACCATTGGCTTTGAATGTACAGTAATACTTGTACTATGTGCGACTGAAAGAACAATGTTCTGAATATTTTGAAGCTATTACTAAAATACGGTCAGATAGATTGGGATTTGGAATACCGAATACGTTTAAAATTTTACTAACTGTGGTCTAAATAAATGATAAATGAGCATGTATTTATTAATTTCTTCGAAATCACGAGTGTGCCAATAGTGGAAGCCGTATCGACGACGAAATTGTCAGCAGTTAATATACAGTAAACAGTACAACGTTTAATGTACGATATATATATTTATCTAAATGACATGCCAGCGAGGATCGACAATATAATTATTCGTACATATTTGGGTATCTTTTGTATGCCTTCGCTTGCTGACTTGCTCACTAATGAGAATAATCCGTGAAGCCACGACGACCTCAAAATGTACTATACTATGGTCTGATGTCAATCCGAAGACGAAGTTCAGAATACTGTTATAGTTTCGTATATTGGATTTAAGCGATAGATTCAAGTCATTTATGATAGACTTTTTTGCTGTGATGCTTTGCTATTGCTTTTGGTTTCCATTTCTAGTTTTATTTGTTCGATAGTCCCTATAATATATAATATTAAAATGAATAAAGTTCAAATTCTTCAAAATGCTGTTGTTGACATTTGCTATTTTTAGTAATTTTGTCAACGAGTGTAAGCCAATCAGAAGCCTGCGTTTCTATACGAACGCCACTACCAAAAAAACCTATCATCCGTGCAGGCCCTCTATTCTTCGCGCCGCCTGCAACCCAGGGCCTGTTCGCAGGCTACCCGCTAGCCCTTGTCAGGGGGGGTGCTATTTTTCATGATAAGCAAAAAATTATTAGAGACAAAATGATATACAGTAATTTGAGTAATAACATGATGATAAGCAAACTAAAATACTGGGGCAGGTTGTACGAAGGCTGGTTAGCGCTATCCACCGGATAGTGATTTTTTCAAGCTTTATTAAATCAGTCGTTCATTGGTATAACTGGTATTAAACTTTAGTATTTATAAGTTGAATGTTTTTTATACTTCTTGTGTCGTCTGTATCTGTAGTTTCACTGTTTTTCAAGCATTTTTACAAAAAAAATCACTATCCAGTGGATAACGCTATCCGTCTTCGTACAACCGGCCCCTGTAGTCAAGCAAGTTGATGGGCGGGCGGTACACATGACCGACACAACTCGGTGGCAGAGCACCCACCTTTACCAGATCATGCTGGATCCATCCCTGCTCTAGTCCATTCCCTTTAGCCACGACCTTGGCTGCTACCGCTACCAATTTACAGTAGAAAGTGCACTGGTCTGGAAAAGAGTACTTCTAGTATAAAGCTTAACCTTATTCTTGTCAGTACTTTTGGTACAAAACTGAACTTGCATTGAAACAACTATCACAGTTTCAAAATAATAACTGTGGTTTAAATTCTCACTATATAGAACTCAATGAATTTGTTATCCAACTCGACGAGGAGGTCGAGGGAATGCAGTCAACAATCCTGACCTTACAACAACAACTAAAAGGTGTTAAAACTGAACTGGTGGAAGAGAAGCAAAGCAGTGAAAAACATGTTGAACAGATTCGTGTCTTGGAGCGAAATTTAGACCTGGCAAGAACTCAACCGCCAAGTCCTGTGGAAGGCGGAAAACCGCCCACAGTTGAAGACATGCAATACGATACTACTGATAGGACAGAAGCTGAGACTGAGAACCAGGAGTCTGGGCATGAAGCAATGGAGAGCGAGTCCAGCAATGAAGAGCCTGGGGAGGACAACATGAAGCACGAAGACAAAGACTCCAAATTTCAGAATGTTGAACCAGAATTGGACAACGTGACTCCAGATGTTGAAAACGTGTCCTCTGGGTACAACAACGTGTATTCTGATGCTGAAAACGTGCAATTTGATGTCAGAAACGTGCAACAACCTGAGGTGAGAAACGTGCAGCAACCTGAGGTCAGAAACGTGCAGCAATTTGATGTCAGAAACGTGCAGCAATTTGATGTCAGAAACGTGCAATCTGAAGTCAGAAACGTGCAGCAACCTGAGATCAGAAACGTGCAGCAACCGGAGATCAGAAACGTGCAGCAACCTGAGATCAGAAACGTGCAGCAACCTGAGATCAGAAACGTGCAGCAACCTGAGATCAGAAACGTGCAGCAACCTGAGATCAGAAACGTGCCGCAATTTGATGTCAGAAACGTGCAGCAACCTGAGATCAGAAACGTGCAGCAACCTGAGATCAGAAACGTGCCGCAATTTGATGTCAGAAACGTGCAGCAACCTGAGATCAGAAACGTGCAAGAACCTGAGGTGACAAACGTGCCGCAATTTGATGTCAGAAACGTGCAGCAACCTGAGATCAGAAACGTGCAAGAACCTGAGGTGACAAACATGCAGCAATTTGATGTCAGAAACGTGCAGCAACCTGAGATCAGAAACGTGCAACAACCTGAGGTGACAAACGTGCAGCAACCTGAGATCAGAAACGTGCAACAACCTGAGGTGACAAACGTGCCGAAATTTGATGTCAGAAACGTGCAGCAACCTGAGATCAGAAACGTGCAAGAACCTGAGGTGACAAACGTGCCGCAATTTGATGTCAGAAACGTGCAGCAACCTGAGATCAGAAACGTGCAACAACCTGAGGTGACAAACGTGCCGCAATTTGATGTCAGAAACGTGCAGCAATTTGAAGTCAGAAACGTGCTACCTGAAGTCAGAAACGTGCTACCTGAAGTCAGAAACGTGCTGCCTGAAGTCAGAAACGTGCTACCTGAAGTCAGAAACGTGATCACAGAGGCTAATAATGTGTCTTCAGAGGTTAAGAACGCCAGCCCAAAGGAAAACGAGAAAATTGAACCAAATCTACGGAAAACGGCCAGCACTCCCCCTTGCTCAGCGTTCTCCATCAGCCAAATACTTGGGGGAGAACCCCGAAGGACTCCCTCTCCTGACATTCCACCGGGGGGTGATGCTGTTGTGACAAAGATTCCTTACATAGGGGGGTTCTCTGACCCGACAGGGGATACTTTGAGGACCGAGGGCTCTGGGATACTGAACGGGGATGGGAAGGACGGTACCCCACCCATAGTGACGTAAGAGTAGATCAGATGATAGAGGGTAATTTAGGGATGGATATGGTGTCATAGTATAGTTTTTGTCTATTCATTTTTATTGGAACTGTCCAAAGATGTTTGAATAAAGTGCATTTTAACACCAAACTTGTGCCTATTTTATTACTTTGACAGTATTTATTATAATATAACACTTCTGTCGCAGGATTGTCATACGAAGAGCCTCCTCCCTGCATGTTAGTCTAAAGAAAGGTTTCTAAAACAAGGCTCCACAGCTTGCAATTACCTCTACCGAGATTTTGTCCTAATATCTCCTAATTATACTGCGACTACGCGCGGTAATTGCGATTTTGATGTTTTAACCGGATTAAACAGTTTCTTATTTACGTTGATAAGTTCGCATTAGAGTCTCCACGAACCGCTACATCCGAATAACGCGTCTCTTTGTTGCTTTATTAAACAATTTTGTACTCCAACGCATATACGTCGTGTGTCTGCATAGTTTGTACGGAAAACTGGAGTGAGTCGATTAGAGATGCCAATCATATTTTGTCAGTTATTGATTCGTGCATATAGCTTGTGCTATTCAATAAAGAAATTGAGTTTTCCTTTTTACATGCGTGCTTGAAACGTTGGCCTCGAGTTTCCCTGAAATCAATCGACGGCAATGGCGTTAAAAATTGCCGTAGAACGTAACAGCTGTCTACGACTACGGCAATTTTGGCAGTTTCCACGGCATTTTTCAAATTACTGTAATAAAACTTTAATTTTATTGTTACTTTGGATTTTTTGACAAGCTAGAAACATGTCTACGTATTTCTTTAGTGTTTTTTTTTTCGAAGAAAACTGGGACTAAAATAGTGATTTACGCATGATTTGATCAACATCTGAATTCAAGTATCAAAGTAGTAATGCACAGTGAATAGTATAAAAATTGCACTGTACGGCAAAAAATTGCCGTTGCCGCAATGATCCACAGCATTCTGTTCTCCCTCTACGGCGATTGCCGCGATAAAATTCGAGTCCTGGACTTGGCTCCAATTCATGGTTTTTATTTGAGTAAAATCGTTTCTCGCAAAAGTTCAATGTGCCAATGCTCGACTTTGCCTTGAAGTCTGGATGAAACGCGGATGAGAATGCATGAAAGTTGATAGTCACGCGACCTTGCATGGTTAGCTGTTCTTAATGCTTTCCCAACACTATCATGTATTCTATTTAAGTTAAAACATAGTTGAAACCAGGTCTCGAATTTCCCTGAAATCAATCGACGGCAATGGCGTTAAAAATTGCCGTGGAACGTAAAAGCTGTCTAGGGCAATTTTGGCAGTTTCCACGGCATTTTTTCAAATTAATAAAAATTTAAGTTTATTTTTACTTTGGATTGTTGACAAGCTAGAAACATTTCTTTAAGTATCAACATCTGAATTCAAATATCAAAATAGTAATGTAGAACAGTTAATAGTATAAAAATTACATTCACTATAGTCTATACGGTAAAAATTGCCGTTGTTGCCGCAATAATCCACGGCATTTTGTTCTCCCTCTACGGCAATTGCCGCGATAAAATTCAAGCCTTGGTTGAAACATAGTTGAACTATTCATCAAACCTTTATTTCTAGAGCTTGAAATTTCCCCCGTGTCAATGCGTGACTGCCACCTCTCATTTAGCCTGCATAACAGGCGGTCCCTAAAATCGGGTATTTTAGACCGCCTGCCATGCAGGCTACCTCTCATTCACCAATTTTTTTTTTATTTTGGGAACGCAAAATCCAACTGGGTAAGTTGGGGTCCATAAGGGTAGCATTCTATAATACGCTGTCGTGGTTGGTATCTGGAATACCTTGTAATTAACATGTTAAAAATTTAAGTGCAATTTATCAGTGTCAAGTTTAGCACTTAGCGGAGATCTCACGTAGCCATAGGCAAGACGATTAAAAACACGACATTTATATAGATTATAGGGACCCGCCGTGCAAGTATAGAATTGCAGATATCGGGTAGTTTGATTGTAGATATACTTTAATTGAAAACGGTTATACATTTGTGCTGTATAATTTACGATGGAGATTATGAATTTCGCAGAAATAGGTCGTAAAATGACACATTTTTAAAGTAATCTTGAACTGTCTTTGCCAGTGTAGGTAGTGCCAATAATGTGAACAGGCTTTCGTTGGTAGGAATGCCAAACCACCTGAAAAATATAAGGAGAATTTCGACGAAAAAAATCCAAAATTGACCGATCCAAAATCTTCCCCAAGAGCCGCTCTCGGGCCCCCTAGATGCACGGTACCTTGGCTACCAAAGAGTCAGCCTAGTACTTCTTTCAAAAAGCCTCCTTTTCCAAATTTTATTTAGGAACCCTGATTATGTTGTATTTCTTCAAACGTGGAACAACCTTGCCAGCCAGGGTACGTGGTATTAACTATATTGCCTCTGCTGGCAATTTATGGGGATTGCCCATCCTTGATACTGCTTTGATATTTTTTAAAATATCAATGATAAATTTACTACTACTATACTGTATAAAGCAATATGTTTTCAGTATTGTTCCTATTATATATTCAATATTTAATGACACTTTCAGAGAACCTCAAACAATAGTAAGTTTCGTTCGAAGCCATGTGTGCGTACAAAACCGAGGTGTGTCTTAAGAGAGGGACATTCTTACGATGCATCCTGGGGTTTTTTAGTTTTGAAGCATTTTGGCTGCACTAGAAACATTCTCTATAATTATTTGCCCTATTAATGCCTTTCTGTGCATGGAGATATGTGCATTACAGGAGGGTCCAATATATAAAATACAGTATACTCAATAATCGATTTTAGTTTCATAAAAGCCATGACAAATTAGCTTTAATGCAAATTAAGGTCATCATGCGAGTGAATCGATTTTAAAAATATATTGCTTATTGTCAGTTCATGTATATAATATCGACTGTAAAGCGCAAACTATTATAATATGTATAGTGTATACTATATATTTTTATTTTGTTTAACAGGAGACGATTTCATGATTATTAGCTTGTGTTAATATAGTCTATATAGAATATAATTTATCTACTGTCTTTAAAGGCTTTGTTTACAGGACGCACTTTTGGCGTCCTTAACCGCTTTAATTATAGAACATAAAACAAATCCCAAGTTACCAAGTTAATATAAGCACTGCGTATACTTTGCCAATATTGCATGTTTATCTTAGAGATGTGTCTTTAAATAATTTTAGTCAAGAGAAAATATTTTTAACGAATTAGTAATTCTCGTTATATAGTCTCTGTAAACCAAAATATTTTGATAAGTTGGGCATAATCCTCCAAAAGTAGTCTATCCAAAAATATCTTTCCATAAAAAATGGAATATGTTCTTATCGAAAATCTCAAAAAAATAGGTTCATATGCGAGCTGAATATGCAGTCGTATGAGGTTCTTTGTTCAGGGATGTAGGTTCAAAGCTGGTCATGTTTGATAATTCAAGCAAATCTTATTTCACTGCGTTCTGTTCTATATTCTTATTCTATTTGTTCTTTACAGTGAATGCGGTGCGTAGGTGGTGTTGTGTTTCAATCTGCTTTTGGCTTTGTAGCGCTTTCTTTCTCGCCGCTAGGGCCCTAAACATACAAACATAAGGCATTTCTAACTCTTCTGTTGAGAGATGTTGAGTCAGACACAATCGTTTGTTACCATGCATTGTGTGCGCACAAAAATATCCAAACTGGATTAACTGCAACATTGGGCGGCAGTATTTTTTAATTAAATTTCGCTTCAGGTTCCTTTAGATGAGTGCTTCTATAAGTCGGCACTAAGGTTTTCACCGATTGCTCTGGTTTTCCTATAGTAAGATCCGACCAAGGAAAGGCTCCTATACTACTCTCTCTATGAAAAGCAGTTAAGGCAGATTTGATAGAGCTTTTCCGGTATAAGTTTAGTTTAGTTTTAAGGACTTTTGAACCCATGACGTTTGGGCCAATAGGAATTAAGCACAGATTCCTTTAATATGTTTTTCGAGTCCAGAATACTTCCTTAAAATGCTTCAAAGATCATTGGAAACGGTGCATTCCATAAATTTAGTAGAACAGTCTGCCTCAAATTGTTAGAGTAAGCAGTTCTTGACGAAATTAATATTATGTTGACTTTTGTCTTTAACACAAATCACCCGCGTTTGCTCAGATTTTAGTTTTTGATGGAGTGATATATACTCAGAATATCTTTTCCAACAATAATGAAATAATCCTACCTAGTAATGTTCGGTTTCAAGACTTTATATAATTGAGTTGTGGTTGGAGAATGAGGTATTTTACCACAACAAAACACGTATAGCATGAAATCAAAATATTAAAGCTGTGCGCGGTGACATATAGCAATTAATGTTCGCGACAATAATCATTAAAAATTTACATAAGCAATTTAAATTCTAATCTCAAACTTCCTTTCGCAACGGCTTGTCAAAATCACCGTTTGTTTGATTTTTTGCTCATCTTTGAAACTTTCGGAAAAAGCAACGTCACTCAGTCCACGCCAAGTGCCAATGAACTGGGATGAGTGATTGAACTCGGTAAAAAAAAAGTATGATAAACGTATTCTGTCTATCATTGCGGAAAAAAACGCTGAACATTTGACTGAAATGTTCCGCGCGGACGTTCAAGGGGGTCCTATACAATACGTTTTATTTGATCTGCAATCAGCGCTTTTAATCATAAAATTCGATAGAAATAAGAAACGCAAGCAAGTGGGGTTGAATGTTTAGCCGAGGTATTCTTAATAATTTTTTCCATTCATTTTTTAGTGGGTCTGTTTTGAAAACAAGACCGTTAACATCCTTTTTAATACAAGTTTAAACCGGAAAAAGCAATGTTACATTTATTAATTTTCTTCAAGCAGAAAATTGCAGTTTTTGATGCGCATAGGTTGCGCTGTCAAACGCCAAAAATTCCAAAGTGAATTTGAACTGAAAATGTATTGCAGAATTTTTTAGTTCTATAAAGTTAAAACATTTTTGACGATTTTATAAAGCGCAAACTACTTTTCTGACAAATTTTTCTTTCAAACATGTTTGATAATTTTATAAGGCACAAAGCATTCATTTTACTGGGTAAATATGAAAGGGTATTAATTTAAGCGGGAGGCCTACATTTCTTTCCATTACAGAGACGCAGGTGTTGGCGCGCAACTTTAAAGGGGAATATCATATATAGATATGTTTGGCGCCAAAGAGCTTTTGAGCTTTTACTAAGCTTTTATGCATCACACCTCAGTGACATTGAAGTCGATTAATCTCGATATTTTTGCTTTCGGTGCTATCTTTTTTCAATTAGTCACTCTGTTTTGTTCTTATATTTATCGATGGGATTAATTTGCGAAAGCAATAATCCCACTAATTGCTCATGATGAAGGTTAATTGTGACTTGTTAATTGTTCTAGTAAAATGCATCTCATTCACTTTGTGTGCTCGCAGGCCCACACACGGTATCCGGCTCCCGCGACAGGTGCGCCGATCGGCAATATAGACAAAGTGACATTATAAAGCGACCCAAAATTAAAGCCAGTAATTCAGTTACTGCAAAACCACATAAGCTGTACGAGCTTGAACCGAAACCACAACATTTACTTCGATCTTTCGCAGAAAGCCGAACATTCCGAGGTATGTATTACATTTTAAACTTTTTTCGCGTTATCGCACAGGTTTTGGTGCGAAAAAGGGGAGGCTTAATTAGGGCCCAAACGCATTGATTTAATGATATGAAATTTTCATGCTTTCTCAATTGCATTGTACACCTTTATTTTTTATATTTTAAACTTAACTACAGAAATTGTACATAGAACAAGCTACAAGTGGAAAATTTCTTTAGCTTGAAGCCTGAAAACTGGGAAAAATCGCCATAAAGTGTATCGAAAAATCGTAAAAGAGAGTGCAAATGTTGTGATATGGAACTGTATGAGCACTGTGCGCTGAATATTAATCTTGAACAATTCAACATTTTCACAAAAACACCTTTAAAGTAGCTAGTTCTTTAAAATGGGTTTACCAAACCAGATAGTTTAACTCAGTAAAATTTAAAATCGTCGCAGTTTTTGTTGTAAATAGTAATTTCAAAATCAATATGCTTGCATGTGGTATAGTTAATATCATGCTGACTCTAAAACTGTCTATTTCATGACTTGACTTTCAATTATGTTTAGTTAAATTGATCGAATTTCACTTTTATTGGGTTTAACAATTAATGTTAGAAGAACTATTCAAGAATAACCCATGTTTCTTGCACTGGTTAGCAAAAAATGAACTTTAGTCATTGAAAAAAAAATGTTATCAGATGGGCGTAGCAACATGGAATAATTAATTTCGAAATGAAAGTAAGTTCAGTTCCAATGCATTGCCGCCTCTAAATCATGCCGGTATCAAATTAAGGCGAGCTATTGAGCTTATATACCTATTTAATAAAATAGTTCAATTGATTGGATTTTATTTTCTTCTGCGTTATTGGCGTAGCGATTTAGTCTTGAAAAAGTGATTCAAGGGTGAACATGAAAAAGTATAGGTAAAAGATACTAACAGTAACTTTAACAGTAAAACATTGATTGGGTTGTGGTATCACAATCGCGTTTGGTGTGTCTAGACTCCCCTGTGGAGGAACAAGCGATTTTAATTTTATCTGGTTAGTATCACATTGCAACACAATGTCTGAAAAAGCTATGTACTCACAGAGTTATAAAGGATGGTGAGCATGGCCAATGTTTTTCATTCTCATTTTTTTGTTTGGATGTGTAAAGTAACGAGAACGTGTCGGTGGAGTTCTCTTCATAGATGATGCCGCTTCATCACTCTCGAGTGCTTTCTCTCGGATTTAAGTTTTTTTTATCTCGGCCCGCTTTCATAGAGAAGCGCAGAATGGCAGAAACCATCTGCATAGGAGAGTGGGCGGATTGAAACAAGGGTCAATGTCTAGAGTATCAATCTAAAGTATACCGCCTTATTACTCTCTTTTGTACTTTCTCTGTGCTCATTACCTCAAAAAGCATCTGTGGAGGAAAAAGCAAAGCATACAGACCGTGCCCACAATTTTTATACGGACACTTTTTTACATAACATCGCTCCTCTGTGTCCGAGTGTTGCATGTTATGGTAAAATTACTTTGGATAACCTAGCCCTAACGTGGAGTTTTAATAGGGAACGTTCAGACTCGTTTAACATTGAGACAACTGCGGGGATTGAGAGAGTTTCAACTACCTGAAAAAATATAACCATACTTCGACGTTTTGAGCGAAATCCTTTCGTCGAGAAATTAATAGCCGACAAAGGACCTTCGCCTTTTATATTTTTCAGGTAGGCGTGTGTCTCTCAATCCGACGCTTATTATCATCGCTGCCCACACTGGCACCTACCGTTCGTTTAACATTGTCTGAACTTTGACTTTTTAGACTCGAGCATGAACTACATGTTAGCATTGCTACTGATATGTAGCATCCTAAGTGCCGTCACTCCAGCTGCTGTGAATGAGGTCGAAAATGATAAGTCAGTGGCAGTTAGCGCGGAGGTGACTCACGAAGAGGTTGACGAAGATGCTAGCGAGCTTTTATTCAACGACAAGGGAAAAGAGCGAGACGAGGATTCTGGAAAAGATGTGAAACAGGACGAGAGCAAGACGAGAGAACTCGATTCAGCCCAAGGTAGATTTGGTCGTATCCTTAACCAAGGTCGGTTTGGACGTACCGAGAAAACCCAAGGACGCTTCGGAAGAGAGTCGGCTCAAGGCAGATTTGGTAGAGCAGAAACCCATCTTGAAAAAGAGCAAGGACGATTCGGGCGAGAGTCTCTGAATCAAGGTCGGTTCGGGAGAGAAAAAACCACCAGTGATACAAAGGACTCGGAACAGGGACGCTTCGGCCGGGAATCTACGGATCAAGGTCGATTTGGAAGGGACAATGTTCATATCAGTGCTGGATTTGATGTGAGCAGTTTAGATCAAGGGCGTTTCGGACGAACGGTCCAAGGTAGATTCGGACGGGAGGAGCAAGGTCGTTTTGGGCGAGAGAAAGAAAACCAAGGTAGATTCGGTCGAGAGGAGGCCGATAGCGATGTTTTTGAATTGCAAGGGCGTTTTGGGAGGAATTACAAGGATCAAGGACGATTTGGTGGACGACGGATGCTTTCGACACAGGGTCGGTTTGGAAGGAACATTGACAGGAAATCTGACCAAGGACGGTTTGGAAGAGAGTTCTCGGAGAAAAACGAGCAAGGGCGGTTCGGAAGAGAATTATCTAAGAATGAAGAGCAAGGGCGATTTGGTAGGAAATTATTAGAATTTAACGACCAAGGACGGTTTGGACGCGATTTTTCGGAAAATGATGAACAAGGACGGTTTGGGAGGGAGTTTTCGGAAAGCCAAGGACGGTTTGGAAGAGATTTTGTGGAAAATGAAAACCAAGGTCGTTTCGGAAGGAAGATGTCGGAAGATGAACAAGGTCGGTTTGGAAGAGAAGACACGAAAAATGAAGACCAGGGGAGGTTCGGTAGAGAGTTCTTGGAAAGCAACGAGCAAGGACGGTTTGGACGAGAATTATCAGAAAGCAAAGATCAAGGACGGTTTGGAAGAGATTATTCGGAGAAAAACGAACAAGGAAGATTTGGTAGGAACTTGGAAGAAAATATGGATCAAGGTCGATTTGGTCGTGATTTCTCTGAAACTGAAGTCAAGGAAGATTCGGTCCAAGGATGATTTTTGGTGGCGAGAAATAAAAAAATAGTTGAAACAAAAATTATGAGGTACATGTATATTAGACTAAAATGCCTTTATTCTCATCAAATGTTATATAATAATGTTTGTTAATCCACGAGAATAAATCGTGCCTTTTAACAAGAGATTATAGTTTAACAGAACAAATTTAAATGATTTAAGATCGTCAAATTTGTGAATTTTAATAGAAGTAAAGCCACAATGTGTGAATAGCTAAATAACCCCCGATGTGATGTGTGTTGAATTTTAATTGATCTTTAATGATTCTTGTTTTCAAGCAGTATGTATGATTCAACATTTATGACACATAAATTTTATGTGTTGATTGTATGATAAATGTTTGCTATGGCTGGATAGGAGCAAGATCTTTGGATTTCCGACCCAAATTCAAAGACAAGGTAGCCAAAAGTCATTAAGTCGGACCAATTTTGATGCTTAATGAGTGTTGCCTTTGAACTACCTTTGAATTTTAGTCAAATTCTGAAATTCTTGATTCCTGTATAGATATGCTACTTTTATTTTATTAAGGAGCTCATGCGATGAAATTCAGATTAGTTTTGGGGTCTGGTTTTGCATGTTCAAGTCTATAGGAAAATCCGTCTACAGTTAAACTGTTTTAAAACAAACTACGTTTTTAAAGGGGCAGTGTCACGGTTCTACTGCGCATCCAAAATATGCGTGAACTTGAAAAACTGTCTGCCAACAATTAATCAAGTTAGGAGTGAAATACGATATACTATTTATAATCCCTCCGTTATGCAGGACATTCTTACTTTGTTTTAAATATTGAAGGCTGCTGGATCTTTTCCGATCATGTAGCATTCATTTTTAAATGTTTCTTTGCGCCGTTTATTTTAGCCAATCAGCGCCGTGACACTGCTCCTTTAATTGTTAAGAATATGTTGAAATAAACTGTTTCGTCCATAAGATGACTGGCTTTCCCCCCAAATTATAAACTACTAACAAGGTATCACAGGATATATTTTCTGATTTTTGCGTCTCTACTTGCTGTATAAATCTGTCTTTTGTTCGCTCGAACTTTATAAACTGAGTCACAGTTTGGCCCTGTAAAACATACATCTTGTTCGTCCTTCTCTGACCACACGAAACAACATCCATCACCTTGAAAGAAACGAAAAGAAATATTTTTTTATCAAAATACAGTAGTTTCCTTCACTCCTATGCAATTAGTATGCAGATTACTCCAGTTAGTACGTAGTCAGCGCAGCTTTTGAGATCAGAGGATTTGTGGTCGAGTCTCAAATTTGAAAAAAAAATGAATGTTTTCATTGCGGCATCGAAAACTGAAAAAAATAATTATACTAGCCGGTCAAAGAATGAAGACAATTGGAGTTATATCTTTTCAATAAGTTTTACAAAGTTCCAGCAAAACACAGGAGGCACTAAATGCCTGTTTCGTCCCGAACCTACGCAAAGAAGAAAACAAAACGAAGTGTTCGCCGGCAGAGTTTCGTAAGTTCCTCATGTTTTTCTTAATGGTTTTTAAAGTTTTAAACGGTTTTTTTAAACAGAATTTAGTTCAAATAAAGCCAGTTCATAGTTAAAGCTAGTATAATTAAGCTTTTATCTTAAATAGTGTACTTTTTACTGATTATTTTCAAGAAAATATCGTAAATATTTGCAGAATTTCTCGAAGCGAAATATTTTCGCGCGCTTTTTGTCCTGTGCAAACACTGAGCTATATGTAGTGATGGAGTGTAGAACCGAGTTATGGAACACGTACGTCGACCATTCAAAAGCGTTTTTACATTGGTAATATTCAAAAAAATGTTTTATTACTGCAGGAAAAGACTACAATTTGACTTAAGTTACTCTGATTACAATTATAAAATTTATCGTACCTGTGCTAACCAGGCTGCCATTATCATAATTCACCATGCCTAAAATAGACGACCCTGACGTCTTTACGATACTAAGAGGTGCGCTAAAAATCAATAAAAGAACATTTTAGATGCTTTTTCATTCAAAATGAAAGAGATTTTCGTCATATCTGAATTGCAAGCAAGCAAAATTCCGATGCGAAATTAATTCAATATGGCGGCAGTGACGTAACTTTACCACGTATTTCGTATATCATATCTGTACAGGCAGCCATCTTGCGTGCCAGCCAGAACATTAATATCTGATGTGAAACAACATGTATTGAATGCTGCAGAGCCTGTTACTTCGAAAACCTGTACAAAAAAGTACATTCAAAACACTCTTAGTAAATTCAGAATCAACTCCAAACACTTGCAGTTTAGGGTGTGCATTGAAAATTGGGAGGGGGGAGAAACGCAGATTTAAAGGAGCTTGCACCATTCCACTGTAAAAGTATGCACTGTTGATACATGATGTTGATTAAAATTACAAGTTGAATGACAATGGACCATTCCCCAATTAACCAAAATTTTGAACTCAAGTCTGGACAAAAATTTCATCACAGCTTGAAAGAGCATCACAAAATTAGTAATATTCCAAAGTTTCGTTGCGAAATGTTGTAAAATGCGGATAATATATATAGCCTTGCGAAGTTTGCAATTTTCCGTCATTTTAGATTACAAACGGGAAATCGTTACCACTTCTGTGCGTAATACAAAATGACTGAAAAACGGTAAACTTCGCAAGGCTATATTATCCGCATTTTACAACATTTCACAACGAAACTTTGGAATATCACTAATTTTGTGATGCTCTTTCATGCTATGATGGAATTTTTGTCTACACTTGTTGAGTTCAAAATTTTGGTTAATTGGGGAAAGGTCTATTGAGACCGTACCTTCTGTCTAGCATGAAGACCAACTCCTTGTAATGTCTTATCTTCTCGCGCAATCACCAGCAATTTTCCAATTGTTCCAGTTTCTCTATCACCTGGAAATTCAAGCAGATTCAACCCTATAGTTGCATGGTGGTGTTCAGCTAGTCGGTGGTGGTGTGAGGATGAAGATGGGTGGACAGGGATAGTTATAACGGTTATTTCTAATGCATGGTTACTTTGGGTCATTACAGTTTCTTGAGCTAACTGTTTGCGCTTAGCTATTTTTCAAAACTTGTAAAAATATATAGTTCCCGAAAGTCTGATTTGACAGCATCGTTACTTACTCTTTTCTTCTTCTCTTGGGCCGATACTTATTTCCTGATTCACAGTTTCCACTGCGCATGCGTTGATGGGACATGAACATTCTGCAATAATACCAAGACAGGTAGCTGTCCCACAATCCCAGAGTCGCGCAGATCCATCACGTGAACAAGCTGTATTCAATAAAACCTTGGTTAAATCAGGTCCATACGGCAGGTGTGCTAGTGTAAGAAATATTTCCCCTTCTTGATTTAAAAATACGTACATAGTATATTTCGTCCTTTGTCTAGGATAGCAGTGTCAGTGATACCTATAAGAACAACAACATTTCTTATTGAGTTTTTCATTCGTTGTTTTTCAGGCTATTGTCCAATTGATAGGGAATCCGAGGAACCTACGATTTTAACGCAGGGGCGAAACTAGCCCCTTTTAATTGGGGGTCTGCTAGAATTGCCCTGCGAAAGTCGATGATTGCAGTTATTGATTCAGAACAAGAGACAATATATAGTGTTGAAGATGATCCCTTTGATTGTGGTATGAGAAGCTCATCTGAAGCGGAATCTGACTAGCACAACTACGTACTTGCCACTTATATAGACAGTCACTAGTTCCTGTGAGAATTTGTATGATTGAAGAAAACTTCATAACTAGTAGATTAAACTGATCACTTGTTTATACACTGTAAGTGCATTTAACTGTATATGTAGTAAAGCTAATATTTTGCGTTTTGTAACTTGCCCAAATTTCAAGGCTTTCCTGGTAACCCTCGTGCCTAACGGCGCACGCTAACACTCTCGTTGTCAAAGATGAAAACAGCCGGTAAAAAAATGTACATATACAAAAAAGCCTACAAAAATTTCAAAATTTGAAATTTTTATTTTGAACCCTGAGGTAATAAACGTAACACTTGGTGTGAAACGCATTTGATCGTATCTACATGGAAATTCGCGCTATAGAAATGCCAATCGTAATTTTGAAGACAAGAGAATGTTCCAGTGTCAGACATGATGAAGACACCATAGAAAAAGACAACAAAGTTTACCTCCTCTGTGGCCTTTCAAAGTGACTGGACAAGTACCATCTTCTGCTGACCATATCTTGAGTTGCATATCTGAAGCACCAGTCAGTGCCACCACACCAGATGGAAAGAATTGACATGATGTCACTTCTGTCACGTGACCTTTTAGTTCCCGCTAGAATACCACATTGGGTAATCATATGAATTACAGAAGTTACTAACGCAATCTCGTTCCCCGGTCCTGCGCTCCTCGGGAAATAAATAAACAGTGGTGTCCACAAAACGAGTCTTACCCGGACTGTCCCGTCAGAGGTCTGCCAGATATTTAAACTACCATCATCACTGGATGAGACGCCCAGTGAACCACCTGGCGAGATATCAAGACCATGGACCTAACAATTGGGAAGTCAAAGGTATGACAAAGAAATTTGCATTCTAATTGTTCTGATTGCAATTTAGAAGAAAAATATCTTACACTTTTAGAGTGAATGTTTGTAAAGACGTCTGAAGGAGCGAGAAATTTGGTTGAACATTTCCATTCCGGATATTTTATAGTGATGCTTCTCTACAGGAGAAAGGTATGTAATTTTATTTATAATTTTAAAGAACCTTGCAGTTTATCTTTCTATTATTCATTCATTAACAAGCTGTTACTGTAAAGGTGATTCATTTCCAATGTATATTGATTTTGTTTTATCTTTAGATCTGTTTCAGTTGCTATAATGATCTCTGATTTTTATTTTATTTATCCTTGTTTAGTTGATTCCCAGTATTCATCCATTCTATTTCATCCCATTCTGTTCTACACTTATATTCTGCTCTTTTCTATTCAATCCTCTCACAACATATATAACAAGCAAATTATAATGCCATGCACTTAATATTAACTTTAATTTACAATTATCATATTTCAATGGTTGAACCTTGTCAAAACTTTCAATTTCAAAACCATCTGTTGCATTCAACTCTTTCTCTTGTCTTTCTCCATGTGAACTTATCTCTCCATAAACTGATGGACTTCCTGTGTTTTGTAGGAAACATTTGAAATGGTGAAGAAATATCGAACTATAAGAAATCTGTTATTTAAGGTGTCAAGGTATGTACGAGGAAAACATAACTTGTAACATTGCAGAGACTAAATACCATCATGCATTGCAGTGCCGGAAAATATCAGGCAGCTCCACTGCCAGGAAATTTTTAACAAAATATCTTAGCAGGAAATTTTCTTACATCTTGCAGGAAACTTTTGTCATCTTATATACTAGAATGCCATATAGTTTAGTTATTAAAAATCCCTAAAGCATTTTACAAGGCGAGATTGTCTTCAGGCGAGATTGAAGTTTATCGCAATGCGTGGCATCGTACGTTCTCTGAAATCTACATGTGCAAGAAGTTTTCTATATGACTTACACAGGAGATGTTTATTTTTGGATTCTGTTATTCCAGGAAGAGAAATGTATTTTCTAGGCTTGATGCATTGTAAGCTTAAATGTATGTAATAAGTGTTTGAAGGTTAAAATTTGATAGCAAATCAGCTATTATCAACTATAAGTGCATATAAAAACCAAACATTAATGGGCAGTATGACTGGGCCACTGCCATTCTAATATTAAACTCATGAGTCTCAATGTCTCATATCACTCCTCTATGACTTTCTCACCCTTCTTCGAGCATGATATCCACGCTTTTTCACTAGAATTCCTACAAAATATTAAACATATAAGTACTCTACAAATTACCAACTAACTCATTTAATTTCCCTTGCCTTAATAACTCCGTCCAGTCGCATTGAATGTTCAAATACGGTTTGATTTTTGCCGCCATGTTTTTCCGCGAAGCAATTTCCCGTATAAGGCGCGATTGCCCGAGGGTATTTTGGTAACGGTACCAAAACTCGGGTGACGCCTGGATCCCTGGAGCAATGTTTACAATATGAGTTGGTAATTAGCAACAACAAAATTGTAAATTTAAAACACATTTATGTAACATTCATGGCTGTGTAGTTTCAGGTTAGTAGAAAACATTGCAAGAAGTATATTTTTATACTTTCTTTAGAGATATTTTGTCCTTTTGTTGGAAATGTCATGTTCGCAGTTTTACGCACGCTGCATTCCAGAAATGACATACAGACGTTGCTTGCATGTGTGTTGTTCAATTTTACGGCATTTAGCGTCTTGTTTTATCTTACTTTTCTTTGCATTTATTGGAAGAACCCTGTCTCTCAAATTCAGACCTTTCGTGCAGTAATTTCGGCTTTAAAAGCTAATGATTTAATAGGGATATTATATTTCTGTAATATTTGCCTAGAATATTTGCCCGGCATTTGGATTATGTGGGAATTTAATATCTTACTATATATGCGGTGTTTATGTTTATGTTTACGTAAATTTCAATATTTGTGGCTATATATTACGGATTTCCTACAAATTAATACATAAAAACAAAGCTTTGAAAAGTGACAGTAAAATTCTGCACAAATTCCAAGTGTATATCACTTACACATTTTATATCACTAATTACGGTATATTTATTTAAAGATCGCTGCCGATGTCTGTGCATCATTTCGCCATCTGTTGAAGTGACATTTTTGCAGCAAAGTGAAGTGGTTTAAAGCACTCAAACAGGGCAGTCATGAGGAAGAAAATGAAATCGAAGTTGGCTCCCAAGAGTTGAACCAGATTGATGATTTGGACAATTCTTGGGAGCCATCCCAAGATGGAATCATTGCTGAACTAAGGTACTAAGAGGAATGTTTTAACATTGCTTCAACTACAACTTTAGGCTTGCAAGTATGCATGTTCATTTGCAGTCATATATATTAATATTAAAGATGGACACTTATACAGAGTTCACTAAAGTATGTCCTTGTAGAATTAAGATTGATTTACACTACGCAACTTTTGCCTAAAACTGTCGCATATAACCTGCTTACAACTTGAGTTGTACTGTGTAAATCAAGCACACAACTCACCTATGTTGTTGTGATGAGTTGTGTGTTCCGGATTTTCGGAACTCTAATACAATCAAACTGAACACAGTCACATGACTATTCTGGCTACAATCATGTGACTGTTTTTTATTCAATTCTATTAGTGTTCCGACAATCCAGAGTATTCCAAACAGTAAATGGAGCAGACTGTAGGAGCGCATCTACTGTGGTGTCTATACCATAGAACAGTCCAACTTATTCTCTAATAAAGAGTTCTTGGAATTTGTTACTTCTTAGATAGATTGAGTGGCATGAAATTGTCTATTTATAATTTACATACTGTGTTGATTTGGCACTGGTTTTCATATCTCAATATCTGGCATTCATACAACATATAATATTTTCAGAAACCGTAAAATTAGTATTCATTACTCAGTTTCTATTTTTAGCCATGATTCCTAGGCAGGTTAATTAAAATGCAAATTAGAGCATGTACATGCAGGTGCAAATTAAATTCTTTTTGCTAAAATAAATGATAAGTATAAAAGTCTAAATGAGGAAGAATCGTATGTGGCAAAATTGAATGATATTGCATTTGGAGGTGTCTGATGTATGTACATGTATGTGTAATGTCATGTGGATATAAATCTATGTTTCAAAAAGTTGAGTTCAATATAAATTAAATTTCCAAGTTTACAGGTAGGAAGAGTCATTGTTCTCCAGTCCTAGACCATACAAAATTATAAAACTGATGTTTTAAAGACTGATTTACACTACACAACTTTTGCCTAAAACTGTTGCATGCAACCTGCTTGCAACTTGAGTTGTACTAGCTGTGTAAATCAAGCACACAACTGACTTACAACAACATAGGCAAGTTGTGTGCTTGATTTACATGCACAGCTATAGTACAACTCAAGTTGCAAGCAGGTTGCATGTAACAGTTTTAGGCAAAAATTGTGTTTTAATTTGTATCCTTTGTACCCTTTAATTGTGGGGTAGCAAGTGACTCGTTAGATTAATCTGCTAAATGTTGTTGCTTGATATAGTGATCGACCTCAGTGAAAATTAGGAAACATTAATTACCAAAAACAATGTGCCGCCCTGTATTTCATCTAAATTGACTGCTATATAGCTTTATTGATGAAACCAATCACCAAACATTTGTCCTTAAATGACAGTGCTGTCATGTAAGGGCGTCTAAGCCACTAGATCAATACACCTTTTTGGAAAGTATCTCACTTAGGTCCAGTATGTCGTACTTATGGTCCAGTACTTAATATATTGGTCCTATAGCCACTAGTATTTGTTAATAAATGGACCTAGAAATGCATGTTGGTCAAACATTTGTCCTTTGACAGTGCTGTCATGTAAAGGCTTCCAAGCCGCTAGGTCTGGAAAGTATGTCACTCTGGCTATACTCTGAGCCTTGCTTGCGTGTATGTGACATTGGATAAAGCCAGCGTCATAATAAAAATGAGGCTCTATAGCCAAGATGGCTGCATACTTTGCAGAAGTGTGTAGTGAGTGCATTACACTATTTTAAACTGTAACATCAAAAATGTAATACTGTATAATGATGAAATTATTCTATTTGCATATACTTAACCCGATAAAGACTCTTTGGCTTTGCTCTGTGCTAAGTTGAACCATTTTTGCTCGAGCTGACGGTATGACTGATTAGTAAAGTGACCATTTTTGTGTACTCACTCTCCTTTTATAATATTAGAAGCTCTTTTAAATTCCCAGAAGTAGGTTATTTATTCACAAAAGCATATTATAATGAATGTTCTGTGGTTACGTGTGCAGCGCCGGGCAGGGTCTATTAGAACAATCTTCTGAATTCAGTATCTACTCTTTACCAAAAATACTTCATAATTTCTATGCATCTCAAAATTTCTATGCATCTCATAATTTCTATGCATCTCATTTTTCACATTGCCACCTGCATTAGCTATTTCAAATTTGCATTTTTATGTTAGTTAAAAATAATTCATACATACATGCAGTCTTGCATGCAAGTACATGCTTACTTTTAACAGATGGTATGATTAGAAATTCATCCTTCACACTGATCCAGAACACTTACACTAGCTTGCATGTCAATATATGCAGTGTTTCATAAACGATCAAATTTGAAGCTGCCATAGTCTTTCATATTATTATAATTGCTCATATCATGTGTAAAAAATATTTTTGTTAATACAATTGTACCTATAGCAGCATGTGGATATAGTATATGCTCTTTAAGTGACTGGCCTATTTTGAAATGAATATTCTACAAATTTATTCAGATTTTTCTGAGTGTGTTAAGATAACTCAGACAATTTTTGGGATGACAAGCATATAATAATTATACTCTCAGTATTGATAAGGAATAAATGGGGCTCATTATTGAGGAAAGTAAAATAAGTTAAGATGACGTTCATAATAATATATTTTAATTATTACTTCTATAAAATGTTGTCTTCAAGATTAAGGTGTGTATTTAACTACTATGTCTATGACATCATGCTACATACTATATTCATTAAAAATAATGAATATAGCACATAGTGTTAAAAATTCTGTTCAATTATTTATAATTTTGTAATTTGAGAATGTTTTCTTTTACTGTAGAATCTTGGCCGAAGTGAATGTCTTATGTACGTCAGAGCAAGGAGCTGAATGGGTGCCGTTAATTGACAGTCTTATTCCAATTGATGCAACAAATACTCAGGTAAGTCATATTTTACTGGTCTTCTATGTATCTGTAGCACACTGTGGTTAGAGCTTGTGTATTAGAGGTGTGCAAATCCGATCCGAAACCGATCCGATCGGATTCGTTCGGATTTCGGAACCAAAATATTCATATCGGATCGGACGCGTTATATACATGTTATTTTATAATTCGATATCCGAAATAAAATGAATTAGTTGTCCACGTATTGCAAGAATTAATTATCCATGCATTTATCAAAGCATTATCGCCGTTGTCGCTGCAGTATTCGTTTGATACTGTACTTCAATTCGACGTCACTTTGTCAGCTTCTTGACATGTATTTCTTGCTTTTATATTTATTTGGTTAAATATTTCAACTTGAATGAGAAATTTATTTTATTAATGAATTCTTCGGATTGGAATTCTTTATCAAAACTCGGATCGGATTCGGATTAGACAATTTCGGATCGGATTTTAAACATTAGGCAATTGTAAACGTCCAATGGACCACTTGGGAGAAGAAATGACATAATATACTCCTGTTCATCCAAATCTATTTCAAATTATTTTTCAGGATATTGCAAGTGGAACTTCCGTTATTCATCTTGGTGCTGATGGTGGTGAAGAAACCTCGTTAGATTTACAGATTACCTTATCTGGTTAGATTTCTTCACTATTCTTCAATCTTCATCATTGTTAGGGTTGGCTGCTCTGATATTCACGCATCCTCTGATCTCTTATCCCAGGTCACGTTTTCTGTCTTGCAACTATTTGTCATAATATTCTTCTATTAGATGTCATAACGCTATCTCGACCTTCATTTTAGGTTAACCTCCGATAAGCTAACTGGCTTTTCAACAACCAGGCCCCAGATAGATGAGTTTTGTTCATATTTCTGTTTTGTAGAAAGCAAATTGAAGAAATGTTCAGAATGTTTTGTGAGATGGAAAGATGTACAAAATGGTTAGTTTCATCCTCTTCATATCGATATACCAAGGCGGCAGAATTGCAATTCATTTTTATTGGAGTAATATCAATTTCGCGTTTACTTTAGGAAAAGTCTGGGGATTGAACTTCTTGTCAGAGCAGGAAGCCCTTGAGTTTATGTCATTTTGTGAGGTCAGTAAAATTTTTGTAACTTGACTAATTAGATTGAAGTTTACATTATAACATCTTTCTAATTTGACTTTTTAATAAGGATAATATACTACGTATATACCGTAGGAGGTGTAATTGGTCTGATCGTCTCTTTAAATAATGGTGACATCATCTCCGGACCAGGTGTACATGACGCTGGGAGTCATCATGCATAGTCTAATTGTGATTAAATTGTAGTCAAACGTCTGTGAAGTTACACGAGTTGTTTCAGCATTTTTACGTTGCAACGTAATATTTTAATATTGACAGGTAATAGAAAGAGTAGCCAAGAAAGCGCGTGGTTCCACGAGTCTTACAGCAAGACCACAATGTCAAATATTTTTTATGAATATAAGGATTTATATCGGATTATATTTATGGATTATATTTATCCATATATATTAGTCATCACGGAGACAGCAAACTTTTGACAACAAATATTTGGCGTCTTGTTTAATATTCAAATTGGTCTGCATTAATGTCGGCGATATTGTGCGAGCGGTCTTTGACATCCGAACTAATTAATCAGGATCATTGTTCCAAAAATCATAAGTCATCACAATATATAGATTTTTAATATAAAGCACAAATAGGTTTCTTAAATCCGCTATATTAATAGCGATGACGGCTTGTCCTAGTATATATTAGTTGTGTTTGCCGTTATTTCTTCAAATATCTTTAAGGATTTTGACCGTCGCATATACTTGTGAGAAGTTTGATTAATAAATATGTACGTGGCATAGATTTTTGTAAGCGATAAGCAGGTTGCCAGACGTTGCCTCGTATCATTCGGCTAAGGTGAGATTCATTGGAATTATCTGATCATCGTGTAAGTAGACATTATATAGTTTATGTCTTAATCCAGTTAACTCGGCTGTTGGATGACCACGATCTCTTGGCTTTAAGCCGGAGTTTACCTGGGATGTACCTGTGTCCCAACCAAATACGCTGTCGACAGTCATCCGCTTATATCGCAATCCGCGTTACTTTCCGGTGGTTTCCAATTTGAGACAATAAGTGAATTTCAAGTTTTCTGCAAAGGAGCGACAACATTTTTTGAACTAAACAGCATTTTTTGTACGGTTATCCGGTACGTTTTTCGAACCCATGACCTCAGGCTACGTTGACACACTAAAAGTACTTGTCCGATACGGAATGTACAACTTTCCGAAGCTGAGCGAAACAACATTTCTCTGTTGCAATAATTCATCTGAAAATAGCGTTCCTAAAAGGTATGGATAGGTGTTTTTCATATCACTACGAAAAACTATCAGGAACAGTGTAAACGTTGCCTTCTGTACCAGGTCGATCACAAGTGTTGCTTAGGTTTTTTTCGCGAAAATGCAACTATAGATCGACGTTGTGATTTTAGTGTAACGCTGTCAGATTGCTAAGATGAGATTGTATTCTTTTTCAGGATTCTTGTTGTAACGTTTCTTCTGGTGCTAGTAGCCAATCGTTCAACAGAAAATCCACAAGTTCCCTGAGTTCTTCTTTGAATCAAAGAGATTTTCCTCCAAAAGCCAGTTATTCGCCAAGACAACCCCCCGGGCAAGATACAAATATGCCTCAGGGTGAGGCAATTTTCAAAAATAACCGGGGAAGAAGGTTTCCAGGAAAGACGGAGTGTACGGACAGCGGTGTTGGTGAGGATGAGGTGCAGGAGACGGCCCAAGATGATTTTAATTTTACGGAATTCAATTATTTCCGAGAAATGGAGATATTCCATAGTGCTGTCAACGAGAAATACGTGAGTAGTAGATTAGATATATGGTTTGATTGCAATTAGAATAAGAGTCGATGAGGGTTAGCAAGGAAGAGTTATAGAAACTAATGTCATTACTATGATGCTTGTGATGTTACTCTGTGATGAATTCGATTCCACGGTGGGAATCGAACCTACGACCTTTGGAATACTAGCCCAATGCTCTGCCAACTGAGCTACGCGGTCAGGTCGGTTCGAGTATGTGATATTTCGGAACCGAGTCTACTTCCTTCGATATCAATGTAATCTAGTAATCATGATATTTCTGTGTTGGTAATGTCATTACTTATATTCTAGTTATCCAAAGACAAGGCGAGAAAGCTTAAATTCATACTATATGTATTATTCCATATTATTGCATTGATTCAGTCAGATATTATCATAGTGAAGATGATATATTTCTGTGTTGGTAATGTCATTATATATATTTTAGTTATCCAAAGACAAGGCGAGAATTGAGGATGAAAACATTAACAGAGCAGCGGACACATCTTCAGGAGGTCTGCGTAGATCTGGATGGTTATCTATGAAACATATCTTAATATGTGGTCGTAATGGGCGAGTCGAGCAAGCCAGCCATAGAAAATGGAAAAACTACTGGGTGATATTGAAAGATAATGAATTGAACTTGTACCAATGTGATGAGAAAGATGTAGGGTCTATTGATATGAACACTCCTAGTGTTGTAGTGAAGGTGGATGGATGTCTTGCACAAGCAATTCCAGAACATGTTAAGTTAGAGAATGTGTTTGGTTTAAGTACGAAGTATGGTGATGCGTTTTATTTCCAGGTACGTTTTACACTTTTCTAATTGCCGAAGAAATTAATTTTTTAAAGAGAATAAGGTACATGGTGTTATATTTATACTTTGTAAAACTGTTAGTCTGTGGCAGTGATTATCTTGGTTGAAATAATTTCTGGGAGAAAAAAGAATGACAACTGTTTGTCGTATCGGTTTATAAACTTTCAGATCAGGGTGATTCCAGCAAAAGACGAAATTTTGATCTAGACAAGAACAATGAAATCCATTACCATAGCTGGAAAGAGCATCTTAAAATGAGTAAAATTGCAAAGTTTGGTTGCGAAATGTTGTAAAATGAGCAAAATATAGCCCTGTGAAGTTCGCAAATTTTGTATATATTTGCATTACGCGCGGGAAAGATAACCATTTTTGAGCCGAAAGTGGTTATTTTTACCGCGCGTAATACAAATATATACAAAATTTGCGAACTTCACAGGGCTATATTTTCTTCATTTTACACCATTTAGCAACCAATCTTTGCAGTTTTACTCATTCTAAGACGTTCTTTCTAGCTGTGGTGTTGGATCTCTTCTTGCCTTGATCAAAATTTAGTCTAAAGCTGGAATCACCCATTTAATGACCTATCTTAGGGTTCAAGTCAATCAGAAGTCGAAGGTTGGATATCCAGTCTTCATTCAACCTCTGCAGTGCAGTTTGTCGGCAGTCGTGGTAAAGAACAGACGAGATGGTTGTTAACTTCGAAGCTGGAGAAAATTCAAGAGAACATCGAGTCAGATTGCAAGTTGAAGAAAATGGCGGAGTTACAGTTGACTGTCGTTACAGATAGCAAGAATAAACAAGTTATTACTGAACAGGTAAAGTGTGGGTAATACAGCGGAACCCCGCCTGACGGCCACCCCGGCCATGACCGTAGCTAGACCGATAATTGGGGGGGGGGGTGCATATTCATATATTCGTGTTCTGCCCGACGGATTTCTTTTGATAGCGATTGTTTTTACGGTATGTGAACATGAATATACACCCCCTCCCCCAATTATCGCGTCTAGCTACGGCCCTGACCCCGGCTCCCGTTAATACAGTCGCCTCTTTATTACGGCCACTTATTATTGTCCCCGAAAGACGCCAAGACCTGAATACATTTTCTTATGAAGACACCCCATTAATACGGCGAAAATTTTCCGGCCCACCCTTGGCCGTATTAACGGAGTTCCACTGTGCGTTCAAATGTGTTAAAAACAACTTTGGCATAATTATAGATAACTAATATTTATCAAAGTTGCCGTTTGAACTGTTTAACATCACTTTACTGATTTCTAACATCTTCTCTTCTAAGTTCTTTGTATATGTTTGCATGGCGATAAAACATATAATAGTTTTGTTTGTGGAAACACCACGTAAATTTATTACTGCAGTAATAAATTTACGTGGTGTTTCCACAAACAAAACTATTATCTTCTCTTCTCCTTGAATTTCCTGATACATTTGCCTTGAAAGTCCTTGAAAAGTCCATGAATTTTACTCTTCTTGACCTGTACGAACCCTGATGATCAGCGCTACGTACACTGGCACAGATCATTCAACGAATGTTGCCCATCTTTCTTTTCAGATTTCAAAGTGGGAACAAAATTTCGAGAAACTGAGCTTAGAATTGTATAAACTTCAGTGTTATCTATCAGCTGTGTCAGGCTGTTCACCACCCAGTCCTCAGCATGTCCTGGCATCAGCTTCAAAGACCACCAAGCAAAACATGTCTCGACTTGGCGTCTTCTCAGTCACTTCATTTCATTCGTTAGTTTGCTGTCGTGAAAATGGCGGTACACATTTGGGAACTGGAGTTAAAGTGAAACGCTCAAAAAGCGGCGCAGGTAAGAAATAAGCTCTTATATGATTACCATTAGCAGTTCTATAGCGTAAATTTACATGTACATATGATCAAATGTGCTTTACATCAAGTAATACGCTTATATTAATTACATATATTAGCGTATACGGCTAAAAACGCACAGGTTGTTCCAAGTTGATATTGACAGGCGTGAACATTAGCTTCCCATTCTCTCGTGCCCGCGAATACCGCCTGCTACGCAGGCTAGCGTGAACAATGTTGTGCGGCCAACTATGAACAAGTTGTCATCCATGTTGTTCCAAGTTGTTACAGTTGAACAATGCTGTAACAACATGTTGACAATACTGTTCATAGTGGGCCGCACAACCTTGTTCACGCCTGTTGATATCAACCTGGAACAATTTTTACGCGTGTAGACTATTTTATCTTTACAACAATTGTGGTATTGCTTTCTTAATAAACTGTGTTTATCCTAAAGCCCAGGTCGCATTGCACAACGATAACGATACAATAACTTGTATACCATTACGCGCGCTGATTGGTCAAAAATTTATCGTTATCGTCCGACTGAAAAAAAATCGCTTGGGTGAGCGATTTTAGAATCGTTATCGTCAAACGATAATTTTGTCATTTTCGTTGTAGTGTCGACACTAACATAATTTTTTCACCAATCATCGCGTGTTTACAAGTTATCGTATCGTTACCGTTGTGTAGTGTGACCGGGCCTTAACCATAGAAATAATAGACAACTGAAAACTTTATAGTTTTCGCTTTGTTTATAGTTTGTAGTTTGCACTCCTAATCAAATTCAACATGGCGGATTTATAAGGGCATTTTTGTTTTCAATTTGGATACCGGTCACGTGACCAAGCACGCATTCTAGGTCTAATATTTCTATGGCCTTAATCCACCCTGTCAACTTTCCCTGTGGGAGGAAACCAGAGCATCTGGAGAATACTCACGATTTTCGACAGAGCGTTGACTGACTCTTTTCACATAAGTCCGTAGCGAGAATCCAACTCACGAACTCAGAGGCGAAAGACGCTTGCTCTGTCGACTATGCCAGGGATAAGAATCAGCATGCTAAGCGCATCTTGCACCTCTTATAGAAAGAGTAATCATTTCTATTACTAGGTTATGGTCGGTTGAAATCTGCTCTAATGTCCTCCCTAAAGATCACGGACTCTTCAACCGCTTCAAAAGTGCGTGAACAGCACTCTCCAAAACTCGCACGCAACGAAAACGAGGCAGACGCAAGAGATGATATTTCTATGGTCTCAGATATGTCAGACTGGAAACAGATGGGGAATTTCTTACGTGTTGAGTTACCGGGACATGGCAGCACAGTGGTTTCAATGAAAGAAGATATGACTTTTCAGGATGTGGTGCTCGCCGTGACAAGCAAAAGGCAGTTGGACCCCGAGATGTATTTTATAATGTTTGGTGTTGAAAAGCGGTCGCAAATTGGTAATTTTTATGAAATTTTTCATCCATTTAGTTTTCAATTTTTCAAAAAAAGAAATTGCCAGGTAGCTGGTGTTTATAACATGTTGATTTAATGTTTATGTAGAATATTACACCCCTCAAGAACAAACCTTCATTGAGGATCAGGTAAATGATTGAATGCCGTGTTTAGTTTAATCCATGTTCGTGCATTACCAACCAACCTTCATTCAAACATTTGTTAACCATTCTTATACAGTGAAAATCCACATATATCACTGATGCAACAACATTTATTATAATATAGCATTTGTAAATTCTGAACGCTGATTGGCTAAGAGCCGTGTTGATATAACCCAATGTCAACACGGAAACGTCGGAAAATTTCTTAGTTCTCTATATTTCTTTGTGCTATATTATAAAACAAATATAAAACATTTTTTCCGTATTCAGGATATACAGTTATATCAACACTCGTGGAAAATGGGAGAACTCGAAATTGTGTGAAAACATTCCGCCCTTCGGGCGTCATGTTTCCACACAATTTCTCGTTTTCCCAATTTCCACTCGTGTTGATATAACTGTATATCAACACGGAAAATGTTTTATATTTTTTCTGTGTTGGTGTATTTGTTAACTCATGCATGGTTTTTGTTCAATATAGAAGTTCGGTGTTCTCAAATTGTGCAAGAAGAGCGAATATACTGTACAATTAACTAAAACAAATGAAAATTGTGATATAAATTATGGTAGGTGGTGTTTATTCTTCTCATTATATGCATACAGTTGGCTTAAAACCTATAGCACAGTGGCGCCGCCAGTTCGATAATTGGGGGGGGGGCGAATATTCATATATTTGTGTTCACAGACCATAAAAACAATCGATTTCAAAAAAAGTTAATAATGCAGAACACGAAGATATGAATATTCGCCCCCCCCCCCTCCCCAATTATCGAGCTGGCGGCGCCACTGCTATAGTAACACCCATTGGCGAGATTTCCTCTTGTTGGAACACTCAATGAAACAGGGATGAATAGTCCTTGGCGATAAAATCAGATGAATAATTTTTGTTATATATTGTAGGTTTATCACTCAAGGTGGAAAATGATCAAATGATTGTGAGTCGTGTTCTGGATGGCAGTGCAGGCTATTTAAGTGGTACAAAATTGATCGAAATGCTTTGCCGTGTATTTAATTGTATTGCCGTATTTTCTATTACAGTATGAGTTATATGTTCTGTTCATCTGGTTACTTAGGTATTCTTGAAGGAGATGAAATTTTGTCTGTTAACAACATCGATATTGAACAAGCTAAAGATGACATTGTGGATTTACAGAATGCTCTTGCAGGTATATCATGTAGCAGAAACCATTAAGTGATTAAAATCAGCTATAACCTGCTTTTGAAGTTTTTAAACCTATCAAGTTGGGCTCTCCATAATGGTGGGTTGTCCAGATCCCCAGTGCACTGTATGTTTAAATATATGTCGTATTTTCTGTTCTAGAGCCATTCATAAGTCTAAGACTACGTTCTCTAAGGGAAGAAGTTCCAGAACAAATACGAAAAACAACTGAAAGTTTCATTAGTACTCTGGTTTGCCCACCTCCACCGAGAACAAGGTATCATGTGACGTGGTTTTAATCCGTGTAATTGCCATTTATGACTAGCTCAATCTCGTTCCCCGAGCCTGCGATCCTCGGGAAGGAACGCGAGGCTCTGGGATAATCCGTTTCAGGGAGGAATCTGATTGGCCGTTGAAATGGTATGCGTAGTTCTGTCTTAGCCAGGATTCCTGGCTTCCGGCAACGGATTATCCCAGAGCCTCACGTTCCTTCCCAAGGATCGCAGGCTCGGGCAACGAGATTGACCTGAGCTTTTCTCATTGCAAGGAAGAAGAGCGAATCCAGCCTTACCTTAAGGAGTGGGTGAAGAGAAATTTGGCGTGCTTCATTTTATGAAATGTATTTTATTTTTAGTTCGTCGGAGTATCTCGATCTTGCTGAACTTATTGTTCCTCCACCTGAATTAGGTAAGCAATCTAGTTGACAATTTATGATTTTAGGAAGCCGAAAGGGTTAATTTGAATGGTTGTGAAATTTTTAGCTTGTGTTGTTTTCAGATGATATCAGCGGTGTAAAAGAAAATCCTGCTCGTAATTCTTGTCTGGTGGAAGACGATGGAGTGTCTGTGAATGTATTGTTGCAGGTAAGTACGCATCTGATTGGTTAATCGGATATATCAAACGCATCTGATTGGTTAATCGGATATATCAAGCCCATCTAATTGGTTAATCGGATATATCAAACCCATCTGATTGGTTAATCGGATATATCAAACGCATCTGATTGGTTAATCGGATATATCAAACGCATCTGATTGGTTAATGGTCCCTTAATGGTAGCGGTAGTAGAAGTCAAATCTAAACCTCTATTTATTTGACGAGATGTCTTGGGGTCATCATAATTATATAAAAATAGTTTACTGTGTACAATGAACGAAAGTTGTGTATATTTAACAGAGTGCTGAAGAAGTGACAACGTTTTGTCGTCAGCATGACTTCTTACGTGAAATTGAGAAACACACAGAGCTATCTGATGCTGAGAAACTTCGAAGAATTATTTCAGAACTTGTTGATACTGAAAAGAATTACTTGAAGGTTCGTAGAAATACTTATAATGTTCAGTGAGAAGCCAACTTTGCCAAACTTGTTGTTGTTGTTGTTGTTGTTGTTGTTGTTGTTGTTGTTGTTGTTGTTGTTGTTGTTGTTGTTGTTGTTGTTGTTGTTGTTGTTGTTGTTGTTGTTGTTGTTGTTGTTGTTGTTGTTGTTGTTGTTGTTGTTGTTGCTGTTGCTGTTGTTGTTGTTGTTGTTGTTGTTGTTGTTGTTGTTGTTGTTGTTGTTGTTGTTGTTGTTGTTGTTGTTGTTGTTGTTGTTGTTGTTGTTGTTGTTGTTGTTGTTGTTGTTGTTGTTGTTGTTGAAGCATCACCAACTTTTATAACATTGACCATCAGATAATCAAATCAATGGAAGTTTTACTTGAATTATTTCTCTTTAGGATGTCCAGACATTGTTGAAACGATACTTGGAACCTTTAAGACATGAAAAATTTTTACCAACGGAAGAGGTGCGAATGCTTTCAACTTTGCTATCACATTTTTTCAAACTTGGTACAAGGATTATTCTTTATTTACAGGTCAATTCTTTGGCAGAAAATGTTTCTCAGATACTTGACTTCCAGAGTAGTTTTTGTTGTGAAATACAGCAACTGATTGACTGTGAAGAAGATTTCAAAAATATCAATGAAGTTGGTTTGTTTCAGGTGCGTTTCATGGAAATTTGTGCCGGTTATACATGGATGAATTGTCCCAGTTTTGCTTTTGTTTGAGGCGTGTGGGTTAATCTTAAAGTTTATATCATTCCGGTTCTTATTTAGAATGTAATATATGGGGTAGGAGAAGCATTTTTACAATACGCAGACAAGTTTAAATTGTACAGTTCATTTTGCGTTACTCATTCAAGAATCATACATATGCTTCAACCAGGTATTTAATTTTTGTTTGTTTGTTTGTTTGTTTGTTTGTTTGTTTGTTTGTTTGTTTGTTTGTTTGTTTGTTTGTTTGTTTGTTTGTTTGTTTGTTTGTTTGTTTGTTTGTTTGAATAAATTCATCTGATTGGACTATTCACATTGTCATCCCGCAGTTAAAAGCGTTGAATAATGGGATTTCAAATTGTTTATATTTCTTCATTAGGTTCGAATGATGCGTTGGAAGAATTCTTAAATGCAAGAAATCCGAAACAACAACATTCAAGTAAACTGGAATCTTATCTAATCAAACCAATACAGGTATTCATGAATAACGTAAATATATCTTTTCCAGTACTTTGAGGAGTTTTTTTTATTTTAAAAATTGTTTGTTTCGTAGCGAGTATTGAAGTATCCTTTGCTGTTGAACGGCATGTCGAAATTGTTGGATAAAGAGAGCGATGAATATACCTGTCTAAGTGGTGAGTGTAATAGTTTTATTTTTAATTTAATATACTTGACTGGATCAAACTACAGGATTTTTATTTTTTGACTGCAGAAGCCATAAATGCGTTGGAAAATGTGGCGGAGCATATCAATGAGATGCAAAATATCACAGAGAAGTTTCTTCCTATTTTTCAAGAGTTGGCGAGTGTCACTCCAGGTGTTAATGTGAGTACAACTGTTTTGTGAGAGGAGTCAAAACGCCCTTTTCAAATAGCAAAACGTCCTTTTCAAATAGCAAAACACCCTTCTCAAATAGCAAAACACCCTTTTCAAATAGTAAAACACCCTTTTCAAATAGCAAAACGCCCTTTTCAAGTTGTGTGCTTGATTTACATTGTACGCGCGAGTTGTGTGCTTGATTTACACAGTACAACCCAAGTTGTAGATTTCATGACAAACGCCAAACTAACATAAACTTTTAACATGCAGGTATCAGATGTTGACGTCGATAAACTTGTTCTTCATCAGAAAGTCACGTGGTTAAACTCGCCAGAAACAATGAAAGCTAGCAGTCTGCGATGGAGTCCAGCTCCCTTACGGAAAATGAAAAATGAAACAAGTGTACGATGTTTTGGTATGTATGTGTGGATTTTTTTTAGATTTTTTTATATATAGTATAGTTTGGTGCGTTCATACCTTAGTTGTTGTTGTATCTCATCAAACGGGGGCCTTAGCTTTTTATGTCTACCCCATATTTATCATTGCATATCTTGCCTTTTTAAAGCATACCATACCACACCATACCATGACTAAATCATACTATACTATACCATACCATACCAGTCACCATCGAACCATACCAAATCATACCACACCATACTTTCATTTATATGATACCAGTGTCCTTTTCGGGCTGATTAATTTCAGCAAATATAGAATAAAAGTTATTCCGAATAAGGAGTGCATAATAATAACACAGTGCATATAAAAACAGTTTTTATAAATTGTGTGTTATTATTATGCACTCCTTATTCGGAATAACTTTTATTCTCTATTGCAGTGTCCCCATCCCATAATCTTCCAGTCTTGCCTGCCTTCTCTCCATGTCAAACGACCTACCATCCCTGATGCCATATACTAAACCATACATGGTATAGTCTACTTATATACCTATCGTTCATACTTGAATAACCAAATTGCGAATATTTTAGTGTTTCCAAAAGCAGTCATTTTAATCCAATTAGAGAGACGACAAAAGAAACGAGATAAGGTACTGTAAATAAACCTCACTACATCGTGGTAAAATTCAGCAACATATACAGTGAACTTACCTTTCATTTATTTTAGTCTTTCAAAGGGTCTTTAAAAGTATCAGAGGAAATTAATTTCAAAACACTGATACCAATGTCGTCTTTAACACTACGAGACAATTCTTGGTGTGACAAAGGTAAGCGTCTTGACAGTATCCATGCAGCATCGTTGCAGTATTTTGATTCATTGATATTTGAGAATGACAACGTATTTTGTTGTAGATTTATTTAGTGCTTGGGAATTAGTTGATGTGTCAGGCCCAAGAGATGGAAATGGGCAACAAGAGACTTTGTATCTTTTGTCAAGCGGGTGTGTAATACGCATTTATTTATATAGACTACGTTTACACTATCACCGAATAGGTTTCCGTATAGTAGCATGAAAAAGCACCTATCCCATAGCGAATGTACAACTTTCAGAAGCTGAGCGAAACAACATCTCTCCGTTGCAATAATTCCTCTGAAAATAACGTTCCTAAAAGGTATGGATATAGCTGGTTTTTTCAGGTCGCTACAGCCGTAAACGTAGCCTTAGTTCTGGTAATTTCCAACAACACTACCTGTACTTCCGCATCCTTATTACTACTTTCGCCAATGAACTCATCAGATGGGTCGTTTTTTAAGCCATTTAAAACATTCGCAGTTCGTGCTTTATCAGATATAAAAACTGAACACTTGAGTTGCGCTCTCGTGTTTTAAATAGTACGTAACGTATGTACATACATGTATTTAGAAATTCCGAAGAAAGAAACGAGACGGTTCGTGCAATAAAAGATGCGGTACGAGACAGTATGTTGGAGGACTCAAACTATTTATCTCGCCGTAAACCATCTATAACAAGTATTTTATCTACAACTTCTATACATCTTGCATTTCCCAGTGATCCAGCTTACCTACGTAGTAGGTCATTCAGCGAGTCAAGGCGAGCGAAGAGCAAGAGCCTTGGCCGACAATATTCTGCTGTTGAAGTTGAGATGTTTAGAGAAGATCGACGGTGATATTGGGCGTATAAAGATCTGGATCTATTGGTCTAGATTGGTATTTATTGGTATACGAGCTAGTGGAAGTACAAGCAAGTGCAACGCAGCTGCATTTTTTTTTCAGTTTTTTTGGTTCAACTAAGAAGTCTTTCCTACAAGGGATTTTGAATTTGGACAGTTTTGTACACATTTTATCCCAGTACCATATACCATGCGTACTTTCAACAGTACTGTATCACATCACACCATGCCTACAATGCCATACCAAACCATCCCATAATGTATGTACCATATACAGTAGCACAATATATATACTATAACATACATTCATGCCAAACCATAGCATATAATGCCATATACATATCACACCATACACTATACCATACATATATACCCTGCTAATACATGTAGCTTCTAGTTTGCACAAATCGCAGCAGCAAATATGAAGGCATAGGTTTTGCATACATAATCCATTAATAATGTGAATAGTATATAATATACATATTTTAGTTAAACTAAATATAACATGAATTTTAGACAATATATTTAATCTAATTTATAAGTTAATAAAATAGAATTTAGAGTCAAATAAATTCTCTTGCTAATATATCTAGAATAACATGTACCAGCAAAACAGTTCAAAACACACTTAGATTTAATGTTTATTAGACTTTCCATATTGATTAGACAGTTGTCGTATTTCCTGGGGTTCCAAATTTGAAAATGATTGAATCTTTTGTCCTATCTTGGTGCTGACACCACCAGTAAATTGCTTTCACTTCAGTGCCTTCTGCCTTGACTTCTGTTGCTATCCCATTGCAAATAAACCAGTAAAATGCCAATTTCCAGTTTGTGGTCGGGTTTTTGATATTATGTCTTCTCTTCAGACACTAACTTGGTGCTACCACTACATTTATTAGTGCTCACCATGCAATGAATATTGAGCTAATAATACCTGTTGTAGTGTCATTTCTTAGTTTGCTTTGGAATCAGGTTTTCGTGTTTGAACCATGTGTCTTGGTAAACTGCGCATTGGCCGTTCTTTGCTTCCCTCTGCATCATCATCATCACACCAATGAATGGTGATACTCGGTTGGTTGCCTGTAGGTGGGTGGGCTTCATAAGGTTCGTCAGGTTCAAGTTCAGCTATGGCTGCCAGGAGCTCATGGTTGATGACAGGGGATCCTTCTGTGATTGGTTTCCAGTTGACAGGTGGGGAGGCAGGGGGTGAGATCAAGAATTGTTTGACAGGTGGGGGAAGTTGGAGAGTGCTCGACTGTGATATGTTAGTGATACGGGGTACCTGGCAAAAGGTACAAAGATGAGTGCTGCAATGAAAGGGGGGGGGGGGACAAATTGCTATAATTGGATTGCTTCAAGAAGTTGCACATTTTTCAACTGAAGATTGTGTGGTTCTGGAATGTCATGAAAAAATGGGAATTAGCCACCAAATTGTAAAGGGAAAACATATTTCTTAAAGACACTTCAGATTTCTTCCATGATCCATACATGCATATTTACAGATTAGGCTAAAAGGACAAAAAGGGAAAATAAGGCTTAGGAACTACATTAGTGTCAGGATAAGGAATAGCTAGTTGACATAAAATTATTTTACATAAAGGACTAATATGATAGGTATCTGAAGTCACCGCTTCCTTCTACCTGTGTAAAATAAACTCCTAACCGCTTTTCTTCCAATGTAAAACCATGGAGCTTATCTTTTGCATGAGTTGCATCGTTTTCATTATGGTAAATAACTCTTGCTCGACTGAAGCTTTTTAAGTAGATTATAGACATGATGTCACCATGTTGTTTGAACAGTTCTTCAAAAACCTCCTGAAAAGACCATACAGTAAAATAGGTTGGTATGGACTGATACTTCTGGACAGGGAACAATGTATGATCAATCATTATAAACCCTTTAAATGGCAATGCATCCTACTTTATTATTTTACTCTGTCTAATGCCAGACGATTTTACTTGTCAAGGGGGAGTGCTGCCCACTCAATGGGTTAAGCTCCAGTTTGCATATAGGACCGCCCCATGTTATCTCGACCCACAAAATTTAGCTGTAATCAGATACTGAAAGACTGGTGGTGAGACTTTCCTGGGGGGGGGGGGTGGCTTAATTGTTGATACTGAATTAACATTTGACAAAACATAAAAAAAAAACAATGCTATCACTTAGTACATTTTTCTAAACTTCGTATTGCAAAGTTTCACTGCTTTAGATTTCAAACTACCTTCACTTTGTCTGAGGTAAAAACACTGGCAGGGATGTTTGTGACTGTCAAACAACTTCTCTCGGTACGAGTTGGTCTGTTCATTTCTTCGCAAGTTTCAGCAACGGTCTCGTGACTTTCATCAGTTGAATGTGGGTCAACGTTGACTAACATTTGGCCAGATTCTTGTGGTTGTTTTTGGTTTGAGAGATTTTATAATTTCTTCTGAAAATTTGGACTTTTAATCTGATATTTTAGGGAGCAAAACAAACATGACTTCTTCTCGTACCAGGTTCCCATAAGGGTGTTGCTCGGCCATCAAGGTTCTGGAACTTCCCTTAATCACAGATTAGAGATTACACTAATCTAATCTCTAATCTGCTTAATGTGGGAAAGAAACAAACAGTTTTCTGATTAAAGTTTAATTTACAAAGTTAAAAGGTTGATCAATGTTCTATCATGTCATAGACTAAATTTAGACTTTGTTTATAACAGTTAAAAAACTACTATATGAAATTATTTCAAAGTGTTGATTTTGTTATGTTTATGAATACAATGAAATTTGAACTATTTGATTACATTGATTTGGTAGCAAATTGATAAGCGACCTTATTTTCACAGTTTATTATATTTATCACTATATGTTTTAATTGATATCCATTTAAATATGTCTCACTGGATTCTATTGAATCTATAAAAGTGCAACAAATTAGTATTTTTCAATGCCTATCATAATGCCAGGGCTTGAAATAACATCATCACCAAAGTTCTCAATCATGGTGATCGGCAGTCATGACTTTCCCTGCTTTTTTGCAATCATTAACAATTTGGCTGTTATTTCAAGCACTGTAATGCCTTTCACTAATTATACAAGAAGGTGTAACAAGCTAAAGTTCAATAACCTAGCCAATCTTCCTGCAAGTATTTTTCAACCTAGTTGCACCAGTTATAGAAATAGGTCCGTTGCCATGATGGCAGGTATTCCAACAACGGTCGAATGATAACTGACACAAATGGAACATTATCAGCAAGACCATTTAAGACAATCAAGATCTTGCCCTTTGTATGCTGATCATAAAATGGAGATCGCAACAAATAAAACAACATGAGAACAAATCTTCGAGAAATTTCAGTCTTTTCCAAAGCTGTCAACCGTGGGTTGTACTGAGTGTGAAGTGATAAGCTTGCTACGTCTGCAAAACAAGATAATAACCATGGCTTCCACGATTGTTCTCCAAAGGCGAACATACTGGGTAGATGAAGTAGGGGTCGGATAACATACAATAGTTCGGCAAAAAATTGTTTCTGATTCAGTATGGTGGGATTTTCACTTGTGGTCGGGAATTCAGGGAGTTTCCATGATCGGAAACCATTCGGTGGGGTTGATGATAACGAACGGACGAAACGCCCAGAGCGCTTTCCTTGCCAAACGTGCTGTTCCTCTGACATTGTGTCCGTGTCATTCATATTCTCCTCTTCATCCTGTTTCGAATTTTGCGCATCCTTTCGATCTTGCATATCTTTGTTCCTTGTCGCTTGGAAAACGAGTTGTCGGTTGAGTAATGGTATTAATGGATACTTCTGAAGCTTGGGTCTGTTCTTGCATAACAGTAACAACCTGATTGCAACTTTGCTAAATTGTATGACAACAACAATCAGCCATTTGCCCATTTCACCCCAAAGCCGTTGTGCAGCCATTTCAAGAAAGACCTCGACGCTCTCGATCACAGAAAGATATAACAGCAACCGCTTTTCGTCTTCGGCTCCTGGGTAACTAGGCAAGGTTAGGTTGCAACGGAATATATAATCGTGTAACAAAGCTAGCAAGTTCGACAAGCCGTACAGAAGTTCCCCGAGCTCTTTCGAGGCGACAAAACGCCCTGGAATAACATAAGATGACACGCGAAGCAGCGCTTCTAGGCGAGTAGAAATTGCAGGATCGTTTAGTAGCATACCTGCATACATGTCCCAAACCTTTTGAAACTGCATCTGGAATATTTTCATTGCGTTTTCTGGCGCGTTTCGTAGGATATTTCGAAAGCTCGTGTAGTCTGCCATTTTGGCGGACTGAAAAGATCGTAGAGATATGACGTCATCATCGCCAGATTTATGGAAAAAATATACCGCTACTTTTTCGCGCCGAAAGTTACTCGCATTTTTCGAAAAGTTGTATTAAAAATTGAAAATTTGTTAAAAAAATAAGTTCAATATAAAGTCTTATTATTTATTTTTGTTTTAGACATAATAATACTTTTTCCTATTCCTTGCTATTTTTGCTTGATGAGGAGATTCGAAAAAAATTCCGCTTATACTGAGTCATTTATAGTTTTCTTACATAAAGTTCTGCACATTTCATCAACACAACAAAAGTTTTTATATTTAACGGTTCAAAAAGTTTACAAGATTGTTTGATTTGTTTCGTGTTTTGAAATGAATTCAGAAGCAAAAAGATGGTTTTATCCTGCTCAAGTGTTTGCTCAATTTACTTCGAGTGGCGAGAAACCAGCGAAATTTACTGACAAGCAAGAAAGCAGCCGGGAAAACATGACAAATACTGCCAAAGACAAGAGCATTGCATCTGATATTATTCAAATTTTTGAGACAGGCGAGATGACAATTGCTCCAGATTATGCTCAAGTTACCGTAGTTTGTACCAACGTTAAGGTAGTGTATAAATTTTACCGAAATTAAAAAAGCAACCCCAAGACCCCACCTATTTGCTTTTTGCATAAAATTGAATTTCCAAGTTCTCCTATTTTTCTGTTAGTTGCATCCCTACCAGTGGCATAGCCAGCTCGATAAGTTGGGGGGACAAATATATGAATATGTCCCCCCCCCACTTATCGAGCTGGCTACGCCACTGATCGCTACTTGAGGCCATGCCTGGTAATCAAGCCTACATCCCTACCAATCCGAAGTTTCCTAATTATAAATTGTGAGGGCGATTTTACAGGATACCGTGGAAGACGTCAAGACAAGTGTCAACAAACGAGTGGAGTATATTTTGCAGACATTGAGATCACATAACATTGGGAAGAACTGCTACATAGTGGATAGATCTTTAATGAAAAAAGAATCAAAGTATGAGCTAAGAGTGGAAATATCTGTTCAGTTTACAGATTTTACAAAATGTCAAGAAGTTAGTAATTTTTTGGTTGAGAAACTTGATGTAAGTGTAGAAATCTCAAGACCATGTTTTCATTATATGCCTGGGAGACTAGAGAGTTTAAGGTTAGTTTGCAATGCAATGAACATTATAATTCTAGTGTGAAAGATGTTAGGTTAAAGACTGGAAGAAACTGACCCTTTCCCATAACTTTTAGGAGACAGTCATGTGTACTAGCAGTGCAAAATGCCAGAGTCAAGGCTCTTGAAATAGCAAACTCTTTGAATCAAAGTCTTGGACAAGCAAGACATATTCATGAACAATCAACTGAAGAATACACAGGAAGAGAACATGAAGGAAGAAACACTGAAAGAACGGAAACATTTCAAGAACTTATGAAGTCAGCTACAGTTACTGTGGTTACTAAAGTTTTTGTCGCTTTTGAGTTGAAAGTGAAAACAAAGAAAAGGACAAAATAGATTTCACATCTGAAAACCTCAAAAGGAGCAAAATTCTACATGATGCAAAATTCCATTTCGAAATAAATTTCAATTTGGATTTTGGAATGGTCTTTATATTAGTTTCCAAAATTATTTATTTTACATGTACCATGTCAGATGATATTTATCATTTATTTTAAGAGCTCTTTTCACCCTTTGATTTCCAAGCACCGATCAGTCTTATTGCATAATATAAAGCAGTTATCTGCATTTGAACAATCAAACCTATGACTGCAAGTTTAATTGAGAGCCCTCGTAAGTCAAGTGTCCCTCCAGATTCCTGTTGCATGTACAACATCACGGTCTTAAGATGTTTCGTAGCACCATATATCATTGGTCCGAACCCAAGTAGAAGAGAACCAATCACATAAACATACATTTGATTGTGTTTATTCTTTGGGAGACTGTTTCGGCCAAACATGACTGGAATAAGTGTACAAAGCCAAGCAATATGCCAGTCTTGGGGTTGATACTGTACCATTCTAGAAAAATACAGAAAAGTTGCAAATTTAGCCTTAATTAACTAACTGGGGGAAAGGAAATTTTGGTAATATTTTCGGGAAATTTTATATGTACAAGTGGAAGCACAATCCTAAATTTGTTATCATAGTGAGATTTCTTTCTAATATGTAATAAATAACTTTCATAAAGTGTTAAGAATTACTAAATACTTATGTACCTATTCAATGAAACTGAGAGGAATTAAATGTTTCCAAACTTACTTAAAATGACCCAAAGCGGACCATATTGCTCCCAAAACAATGCAAAGTAAGTGAAGCGATAGATTCAGATTTAATTTACTCTTCCACTTAACACTATCTTTGTAATGTGAGGCAACTTTCTCGCGATGACTGAAATCTGAACCGTCCGTACCACTTGCTCGTGGACCAGCTCGAGAAGACATTTTGAATAAATTTTAAAAAGCTACGCTTCGGGATTTCTGATACCACACTCGGGATGCTCTCGTATAAATATTTCGGCTTGTGATGAAAAAGTTTTTTATTTCACTAGTAATTTTTGAAAAGAAACATATATTTTGAGCACATAGAAACTAATCGGAAAAGGACATTTAAATATCCGAAAAAGCTTAAGAACTTTTTACAGTATTATAATAATTATTAATTATTATAATAAATATTCAAAAGTCTCGTGACCAGTTCGTAACATCTTCGTTGCAACTTCGGTAAGTGAAGGAGCATGGTAAAACAGCTCGAACTTTTACGAAAAATTTTTAGATTTTCATCGGATTTTTTGGGTTGAAGAGCAACTTTTGTGTGTTGTAGTGAAGTACAATGACGACTAAAGGTATAAGCGACTAGTTTATTATTTTTATTACTAGAAAATACCCTTGTTTGAGGATTTTATTTGACATTTCAGCAGCTTGACGACAGTGGAAATTGCTACCATGGCAAACGACAGTGGACAGTCGGAGAAGTCTTCATCTGAATTATCAGATAGTGATGGAGAAAAGGACAAGCGTAGAGATGGCTCTGGGTCTCCTGCACGGAGAAAACACAAAAAATCAAAGCATTCCAAGAAAAAATCTAAGAAAAAGTCAAGTAAAAGAAAAAGACACAGAGATAGGTCAAGGAGCAGATCGAAGGAGAGACACTCTGAGAAGACCAAGAAGATACGAGATGGCTCATCTATTGAAAATGACCATGTAAAATCAGGTGCCAAGCAGCAGACTGATGAACTGACCAATCGGGAAGTACCAAGGGTTGCGTCAGCCAATCAGGATGTAGCTTATGTTGCATCAACCAACCAGAATGGGGTTCAGGGTGATGAACTGACCAATCAGGAAGTAGCTAGTTATGCATCAACCAATCAGGTTGGGGTTCTCGGAACATTCACCATCAAGGTTGAACCTAGGTCACCTGATGCTAGAAGAGAATGTGAAGCATCTATAGGTGAAAATTATCCAAACAAGGTTGCGTCATCCTTTCTTGTTAAGTCTGAAATAGTTGAAGATAACTTGAGCTTAAATAAGAACTCTCAAGAAATGGAAAATAGTAGTTTAGAAATCTATGATCCTGGTTTATACATTGCTAATATAAAAGAAGAATATGATTCAGAACAAACTGCAAAAGAAAATGAAAATACAAAAGATAAAAGATCAAAATCAAGGTCTATCTCTAGAGAGGCATCTGGAGCAATAAAGATATCCAAATCTAGAGAAAAATCAGGATCTCTGGAAAGGAGGTCCAGTTCGAAAAGGTCAAGATCAAAAGGGAGAAGGTCAAGATCAAAAGGGAGAAGGTCAAATAGGAAAAGGTCAAGGTCAGAAGGGAGAAGGTCAAGGTCAAATAGGAGAAGGTCAAGGTCAGAAAGGAGAAGGTCAAGGTCGAAAGATAAAAGATCCAGATCAAACGATAAGAGGACAAAAGAAAGATCAAGGTCAAAAGAAAGAAGGTCTAGGTCAAAGGAAAGAAAGTCAAAGGGGAAAAGGTCAAGATCAAAAGAGAAGAGATCAAAGTCAAAGGAAAAGTCAGGTTCAAGGTCAAGAAAAAGATCAAGAGACAAGTCAGCTGAAAAATCAAAGCGAAGATCAAAAGACAGATCTAGGGAAAAGTCAACTGAACAGTTGAGAAAAAGATCAAGATCAACAGAGAAATCAAGGAAAGCATCTAAGGAAAAATCAAAAGAAAAGTCGAAGGAAAGATCAAAGGAAAGAACAGAATCTAGAAAAAGATCGGAGGATAGATCTGAAAAAAAATCAAGAGAAAGGTCAAAAGAGAAGTCAAGACAACAGGACGATAAAAGGTTACAGTCAAAAGAGAGATCTAAAAGGTCCAAATCTCGAGATAGATCTAAAGAGAAACAGAGTCAAGACAGAAAATACAGGAGATCAAGGGAACATTCTCATTCAAGGCAAAAATCAAGTAGAAGATCAACATCCAGGGAACGTCAACGGTCAAAATCTAGGGAACGTCGAAGGTCAAAATCCAGGGAACGTCGAAGGTCAAGATCATTGGAAAGACGTAGATTTGTCCCACGGTACCAAAACACTTCAAGGTTCAGACAATCAACTGAGAGACAGAGAAGATCGAGGTCAAAGTCAGTTGGTAGACGGAGGCATTCAAGGTCTCCTGAAAGATGCAGGCGTTCACGGTCCAGATCCATGAACAGAGGCTATCGGTCCAGGTCGCCTCGAAAGTATGATCGCTCTAGTGATAGAAAGAGAAGATCAAAATCTGAGGATGCTGCTGCTTCTGTTCCTGTGAACTTGACAATTGCATTGGGTGTACCAACTACTTCAGTTACGACCACAACAGCCAATCCAAAACCAAGCAAGAGTATAGCTGACTTTACAGCACTGTGTAAGAAATTGACACAATCCAAAGAAGATGTTAAGTATGATGTGGGTGAGAATGAAGTTGAAGACGAGAAGGTCTATCATCCATTTAGTGTGAAACCAGCAAAAGAAATTGTGATACCTCCAGTCATATTGCCGGTAAGATGTCAAATAATTCATAGAGCATTTATAGAACTAATCATCAGCTAAAATTGTTTTGGTAGGAACCGCTTGTAAATCACAGTAACCTATTTCAGAATATGTGCTACAGAATTATATATTTATGAATTATGATCGAACTATGTATATAATTTTACTTTGCCTGATCAGTGTGCTTCAACGTATCCTATTTTATTATGTTACTCTGTCTAATACCAACAGTTTTACTCGTCAAGTGAGGAGTGCTGCCACTCAATGTATGATATACATTATGTAGATGCCAAAGCCAGTGGAACCAACTCGGCCATTAGAACAAGCATTTCCAGTGTCCAGGGGCAATCAACATAAAACAAAAGAAAATACAAACGAATCTGTAATTGAAGGTGTTGATGGAAGTGTTGCTGCTGCTGAGGAAGTCTTTCAAAGTGCTGTACAACAAGAGGTATCTTATGGCCCATCTTACATGCATTTTAAAACAAAACACCAAAACTAATTGAAAATTATAATTTAATTTATTACTATCTGCAAATGGTTTTTAGTGGAAAAGAAGGAATACATTAGTATTTTTTGTTTTAATCGACCAAATGTGTACCATATGCTACTAATATGCATTTCAAGTCATGCATTTCTTGTTTGTTTCAAGTATAAATGCCATATAATAAACTTTTTATTATATTTACGTCCTACAGGCTCGGTCTGTACAAAAAAGACCTTGGTCCGATATTTTTCTGCACAGACCTTGTGCTCGGTTAATAAGAAATTAGTAATGATTGTATTTAATTTTTTTAATATGAAAATTAACCTGGGATGTTAATTTCTAGAAACTAGATGTGAGTGGTCTTATTGTGAAGCGGATGGAAGCCCAAAATCGTCTTCAATCCAATCCACATGATTATGAAGCAAGACTGGTGTTGGAAGAAGTTCAAATGAAAATACAGAACTGGGCATCAGTGAACCTCAAGCCAGGTCAATATACTGGAGAAAGTTTAGTTAGCTCTTTGACACCCAAGGAAAACATTAACAGTGGATATCAAGCTTGGGCTAGGAAAGTAAGTATTGTGCTAGGGCTACTTATTTGTCTTTCTCGCAAATGCCACACAATTCTTGGGAAAAGTGTTTTAAGACACTGCATGCTGGATACTTACAATAACTGGAAAATGAAATTTATTTCGTTTCACCAGGATATGTTCCTCAATTTGGCACCCATCAGGGGAGGTGTTGGTATGAGATTGCTGCAGAAAATGGGCTGGAGACCTGGTCAAGTCATTGGCAAGAGAGGGGAGGGTAGTTATGAACCAATTGCTCTGAATGTGAAAACAGACAGGAAAGGTTTGGTGTCATTTGCCGAGGCTGGTGCCAAGGGTAAAGGTGGAAGTAAAGGAGGTGGTAGGAACATCATGGCCGCACAAGCTGTGCAAGGTGAGATTTGATGTCTTTTATTTTTATCAGATATCAAGTGGTTTAACGTGTTAGAGATCAAGCAGTTCAACTTCATGTTTTTGTCAATACAGACATCATATGTTCATAATTCAGCTGTTATCTATGGTGTCAGCTGTTCTTGTTTTTAATCAAGAACAGGGGCTGGTTGTTCAAAGGTGGATTAGCGCTAACCTTCGGGTTAAGCTAACCCAGCTTTCAAATTAACCAGCCTCTTCTATGCAGTCTTGTATTCTTCATTCAAACAAGAATAGCTGTTGCCATATTTAACAGCTATGGGTACAACTATGTATGTGTGATGTCAGTATTGACAATTTTCCATAATAAAATGACTTTATTGGTTTCAGGTATCTCTGCAATGCATAGCTATTTCCATTGGTTTTCCAGTATCTGCTCTTTGGCAGCAGCATTCAACATGTTTTACATTGAGCATACAATGCCATGATGAGAGGTTAAGTAGCCCATTTTTATCAAAGATGATTGATTGTAGCAGAATTTTTTTGAAATTTGACAGATTGACTGATGCGATATATCAATATTTTCGATAAATATTAATATTTCAAAAATATCGATATTCGATTTTTTGCATATCAAAGTTTTAACTAGACACCATCTCATAATCCAATATATAGTCAATATTATCAATATTTTTTCAATATCAATATTTTTGAATATTGCATCAGCCTAGTGACTAGAATATAAGGTAAAATTCTGGCTCAATCATTGTTATTTGATGGAAAGGTTGAACAAGAACATCTACACGTTTTATAGTCTGTATGAGCACTGTGATGAAGAATATTATTCCTGTGCTCCTACAGACTATGATATAGTGCAGGTTTTTGTCGATTTTTGATAGGAATGGGCTGTTTCACCGTTTGAATTTTCACCTATAGAGAAAGTAGCACAGCTTATAAGCTGATCAATTGGAGCAATACTCGATCATTGCATCTGACTGCAAATTCCAGAGACGGAACTCTTGGGATGTGTTACCCAAGGTCCAAGGATTGGTGAGTACAAAACACTGACCTATAAATCTGGACTGCATTTGTCATTACAGTGGTCAGGGGTAAAGCCAGTAGCCGTCAACAGTTGTGACTGTCTTCCTGTCAGTAGAATATTGTACCATTTGTTCAGATATTTTTTTATAACAACCATGATAGCTGCTGACTTTATTTCTTTCACTGGAATATGCAGTCTGTATTTATAGGTCAGTGTTTTCAGGAATCAATTCACTCATTCACACACATTGAAACTACACATGATGAATCTAATGTTTGTTACTCTCTCCTCAACCTCATACCCAACCTATTTTCTCTCACTCTGGTGCCACGGTCACATGCGGAGGGTCGTAGTTAAACACACTGACAAAAAAATAGTTATTTTATTTAGATTATTATTAGAATTCTAGGATTATGCAAGGTATAAACTTCTTCATATATACATTTTGGTTTTTAGTATCTGCATGGTAAAAGCCTGAAGACAGGCAGTCCGAAATGTTGCAAATATGAAGAATTTTATACCTTTGTATAACCCTGGAATTTTAATAATCTAAATCAAATATTATAGAAAAAGGTGAAAGAATCTTGAAAATTAAAGAATGTATGTAGTATTTGTTTTGGTTTGTGCAAAACACCATCTCTATTTATTATTACAAAGCTTTAGATCTGTATTGATCAGATCTCCTCGAGTGCTAAGTTGGATGATTGAAGAACTGGACTTATGGTGTGGTGTTGTCTACAAACCAAAACAAATATTTTGATGAATTTGTGAATTGATTCCTATTTATCAATCTTGTAGCCAGAGTATGTTGTTTGTAGGATAAGTGGTGGGCATACTCTGATTACGAGATTGTCCCATTATACTGTACATTATATTGCAATTCTATAAAGCTTTGTCTTGTGATGAAGGCTTAGGATTCCTAATACCTGGTATACATTAGGCTGTAGTTAATCTGCATCCTTTATGAACCTTGCTCTCTTATTCCATAAAACTATTTGTATAAATTTATATGACCATGATAATACAGTATAGCTTGTAATAATAGACTTTCATTTTGTTTGTGGTAACTTGCAAATGTCAATGTACTAATTCAATTCCAATAATTTTAGGCAAGCATCCGGTATCAGCATTGGCTGAGATATGCACTAAGAGACGATGGAAGACCCCAGAGTACATTGTTGCTCATGAAAGTGGTCCTTCTCACAAGAAAGATTTCCTTTATCAGGTGATTGTAAATGGAAACAGCTACCAACATAATATTGCAAGCAATAATAAGAAATTGGCAAAAGCTGAAGCTGCATTTGCTGCACTCAAAGCACTTGGGGTAGTTCCAGCAGATGCTGCTATTTCATTGTAAAAATCCGAGTTATTGCTAAAGAAATATTGAAATGTGTTTTAGTTTGGAATAAATCCAAGAGAAAATTTATACTATTCCTTGTTTTTGTACTGCATTTTATTCTAATTGAATAATTAAAAATCAAATTGTATTTCAACGATCTGATTTACAAATTTAAAACTATTTAATTTTATAGTCATACTTTTAGCATCATTTTTATAATTATGTACAATTGAGTGTAGGTAAGTACATACACATGTACTCTCACAATTAAGGTGTGAATGATCACAATAAGGCTGCCAATAACACGACTGGTATGTTGCTTAAGTTGCAAGGCAAATGGTTAACCATAGACCAAGCCTGCTTGCCCTGATCCAAGGCAAAAAGTTGGCACTAATTCAAACCCTGCAACCACCTCATTTTGACACATCAACAGCATTTTTTTGTCGAAGGAGGTTCGTCAAGCATATCAACAGAAGGTATTCTGTCAAACCCTACAAGTTCTGCTGGCCGAGTAGATACTGTTTTAATTCCTTCCCAATCAGGTTTCATTTCCAACTGTCCTCTTTGTAATCGTTTATACACTTCATTTGCTACAATATGAAAAGCTTCCTCAACATTACAAAGGATTTTTGCTGAAGTTTCTATAAAAAGCATATCGTGTGCTTCTGCAAAACGTTCCCCTTCGTCTGTGGAAACTTCTCGCTCTGATTCCTTGTCAATTTTATGTCCTACTAACATAAATACACATTCCTCCTCGTTAACATTCTCCCTCGCCTCCTTATACCATTCGGCAATGTTATAAAATGAGTCTTTATTGGTTACGTCATAAATAATAAGGCAGGCAACTGCATCACGGTAGTAGGAGTATGTGATGGATCTAAAGCGTTCTTGTCCAGCCGTGTCCCACACTTGGATCTTTACCTTTGCATCCTCTGCAGATACAAAGTATATGTTGAGTGCTTTATTATAGTAAGCATGGACAACTGCCCCCTCCCCACCGGTCCTGTCCCCCTTATTTCCTTTACAAGAATCAGCAGGGAAGGATTTTAATTATTCAACCAGGTGATAAGCCGGCCACTTTAACCACTTAAATGCTTAAAGTGCTGGTATTAACATATTAGGATAGGTTTCACAATATTAACCATATTGGAAAAATTTTAGCATTCAAATTAACTCTATTGCTAATTTGTTGACATGTAAACAAACACCCATTATTGTTATGTAAACATTATGTTGGCCACCTCTTATTACACTCATATGTATCCTTATTATAATAGTACACGTATTAATATTAGAAACATGCACTACGGCGGCAATATTCACTGATGACCTTTGTAAAGGATCAAGTTTTGCGTGTAGCATAGGAAACGCATATGTTATCAATACCAGAAATACTTTACTAAATTCTTGATATTAAACCTGTCCAAAATACCTTCCAAATATGATGGTTTTGGTATTTTTTAGTGTATCTTCACTTTCAATGAAACTACGGTTATCAGTGGTCTGAAATTTTAAATGTACAAATTTATCAAATTACGAAATACAATATACACTTCAATAAAAACGCAAACAATTTTGTCAATAAAAATATCGCCGTATCTATGTATTTACAGCACAATAATGAAGACCTAATTGAGGATGATTATCTTATCACAAAGACAACTTTACATATACGCTTGGCTGATTTTCATAAGTACATATGTAATTTTTTAAGGCCGGAAATACGGTCAAAACAAAGAAAATTAGACGCAACAGTACAACACGCAATATTGGAAGCGTCTGTCTCTTCGAGGCAGGTGAAAATGAATGTTTTTCCTATTGTAAACACACAAAAGTATTCCTATAAAATTCTACAACTAGGATATATATACTCACCCGAAACCTCAACAACACGAACATGAAAATCGACCCCTACCGTCGGGTCGGCTGGAGTTGTATCGACAAAATTGCCCTCTGTGAATTGCCGAATCAGCGACGATTTCCCCACTGTGGAATCACCGATTATTATAAAACGAAATTGATAAAAATACTTCGGAGTCCGTTGAGAATTTGACGTGCTTTTCCGTAACGAAGAACGGCCTTTGTCGCCCATTGTCAACTTGTATCATATGAATATCGAGTCGTGACCTTTGCACAAAACAACACAAAATATGTTGCGAAATTATGCAAAAAGCAGCCACCGTATAAATTTATTCTCCAAGGCCAAGCATCATTTTCATCAATATTTTCATCAAGAAAGCATATAGGGAATTAATCCGTATGTACTGTGATTATCTGAACACAAATCCCCGCGTTAAAAAACGTTGAAAAACGTGGTTGATATATTATTTAGATTTACGTAGGGAATGACATTTGATTTTGTTAATAATATGGGCTTGGTGAAGAAGCGTGCTTTACCATATAAGGTCAAAGTCGGATCGCAATCGTAGGACGACAAGTGAACGACAAGATTTGTTTACGATCCACTGATCCCTCATAAACTGGAACGGTAAAACGCGGGAAAAAATTCCGGCAAAAATTTGTTTTTGAAAAAGGTACAGTAAACTCTTTTTATCAAAAGAGTTCAGTTCTAAAATACAGTATTGGTTCAAACATACTTTTGTGGATAGTTCTGATTGTCTACCGAAGAAAAATGTTTTGATTTTCGAAAAACAAATCTGTTGATTTTGGGCATTTTTAGTATTTTTCGTTGGATCGTTTGGTATAAATAGAAGCACTTCCAACACTGTCGTTTTATACAGCATGCAGTATAAACTATAAAGTATAAACTTGAAAATATTTTTTTAAAATTCTGTAGAACGATAGAAATTTTATTTTCTGAAGAAATTGTAGAAGTCAGTGGACAGTTCATTGGACCTATAATATTTTGTGAATTGTGACCGACCACCCCACGTGACAAAAATAAAATGGCTGGAACAAGATCAAAGATCAATGTAATTTGAGAAGTAGAACATGGACAATTTAGGAAATTCTGAATCACATGAATGGCCATATTTCGAAACACTAAACATGGATACAGGTATTACAACAAGAGAGAGCTCAGCTTGGCACAAATTACAACTGTATTATAAAAATAAAGTTCGTCCTCATCTTACAAGGTTTGTCAGTTTATATTAATTCATTAGAGAGATTAATTAATTACGCAAGAGATGATGTTGATTCACGAATGCTAACCGGAAGGCAATTAAGCTGTCATATATATGATGACAGCCGAAATTATGAACATGAAACTGCAGAATAAGGACACACAGAAGGTTGATTCGGCCAAAAAAAGCGTAACCACTGCCATGGCATGATTTGCAATGATTTGTCATCAACATGTTATGATGACAAATGATGTTCCAGCCTGTGTGATTTATATGTGAAGCGTTTACCCCCTGAACATCTGCCATTTTGAATATTTTCAGGGGGGTGAATGCCTCTCATGAGCAGCTTAGGACCATGGCACAGAACAAGGTACACAGAAGGCCAACTCTTGGTTTTTCCTATGATTTTCCTATGATTTTGGTGTAACCTGTAATTCGTCATTAAATGCTGATGCCATGGTCCTAGCCAGTGCGCATTTGAGAGGCATTCACCCACCCCCCTGATATTATTCAAAGTGGTGGACATCCAGGGGGGGAATGCCTCTCAAACATGCACTGGCTAGGACCATGGTGTCAGCATTTTGATGATGAATCATGGCATGGCAGCGGTTACTCGAGTCGACCTTCTGTGTGCCTTATTGGGTCATTCCAGAAAACATCCATACCACCCCCACGGAGGAAATTGGAAGTTAACCCCCCCCCCCC